GTTGAACTTTTGGTAGGTTGTCCTGTTAAACCTTGATCAACATTGAACTTTTGGTAGGATGTCCTGTTAAAACTTGATCAACATTGAACTATTGGTAGGTTGTCCTGTTAAACCTTGATCAACATTGATCTATTGGTAGGTTGTCCTGTTAAACCTTGATCTACATTGAACTATTGGTAGGTTGTCCTGTTAAACCTTGATCAACATTGAACTATTGGTAGGATGTCCTGTTAAACCTTGATCAACAATGAACTATTGGTAGGATGTCCTGTTAAACCTTGATCAACATTGATCTATTGGTAGGTTGTCCTGTTAAACCTTGATCTACATTGAACTATTGGTAGGATGTCCTGTTAAACCTTGATTAACGTTGAACTATTGGTAGGTTGTCCTGTTAAACCTTGATCTACATTGATCTATTGGTAGGTTGTCCTGTTAAACATTGATCAACATTGAACTATTGGTAGGTTTTCCTATTAAACCTTGATCAACGTTGAACTATTTGTAGGTTGTCCTGTTAAACCTTGACCAACGTTGAACTTTTGGTAGGTTTTCCAATAAACATTGATCAACATTGAACTATTGGTAGGTTGTCCTATGAAACATTGATCAACATTGAACTATTGGTAGGTTTTCCTATGAAACCTTGATCAACGTTGAACTATTTGTAGGTTGTCCTGTTAAACCTTGATCAACGTTGAACTATTGGTAGGTTGCCCTATTAAACCTAGATCAACGTTGAACTTTTGGTAGGTTGTCCTGTTAAACCTTGATCAACATTGAACTATTGGTAGGATGTCCTGTTAAACCTTGATCAACGTTGAACTATTGGTAGGTTGCCCTATTAAACCTAGATCAACGTTGAACTTTTGGTAGGTTGTCCTTTTAAACCTTGATCAACATTGAACTTTTGGTAGGATGTCCTGTTAAACCTTGATCAACATTGAACTATTGGTAGGTTGTCCTGTTAAACATTGACCAACGTTGAACTTTTGGTAGGTTGTCCTGTTAAACCTTGATCAACATTGAACTATTGGTAGGTTTTCCTATTAAACCTTGATCAACGTTGAACTATTTGAAGGTTGTCCTGTTAAACCTTGATCAACGTTGAACTATTGGTAGGTTGCCCTATTAAACCTAGATGAACGTTGAACTTTTGGTAGGTTGTCCTGTTAAACCTTGATCAACGTTGAACTATTGGTAGGGTGTCCTGTTAAACCTTGATCAACATTGAACTATTGGTAGGATGTCCTGTTAAACCTTGATCAACGTTGAACTATTGGTAGGTTGCCCTATTAAACCTAGATCAACGTTGAACTTTTGGTAGGTTGTCCTGTTAAACCTTTACAAACGTTGAACTTTTGGTAGGTTGTCCTGTAAAACATTGATCAACATTGAACTATTGGTAGGATGTCCTGTTAAACCTTGATCAACGTTGAACTATTGGTAGGATGTACTGTTAAACCTTGATTAACGTTGAACTATTGGTAGGTTGTCCTGTTAAACCTTGACCAACGTTGAACTTTTGGTAGGTTTTCCAATAAACATTGATCAACATTGAACTATTGGTAGGTTGTCCTATGAAACATTGATCAACATTGAACTATTGGTAGGTTTTCCTATGAAACCTTGATCAACGTTGAACTATTTGTAGGTTGTCCTGTTAAACCTTGATCAACGTTGAACTATTGGTAGGTTGCCCTATTAAACCTAGATCAACGTTGAACTTTTGGTAGGTTGTCCTGTTAAACCTTGATCAACATTGAACTATTGGTAGGATGTCCTGTTAAACCTTGATCAACGTTGAACTATTGGTAGGTTGCCCTATTAAACCTAGATCAACGTTGAACTTTTGGTAGGTTGTCCTTTTAAACCTTGATCAACATTGAACTTTTGGTAGGATGTCCTGTTAAACCTTGATCAACATTGAACTATTGGTAGGTTGTCCTGTTAAACATTGACCAACGTTGAACTTTTGGTAGGTTGTCCTGTTAAACCTTGATCAACATTGAACTATTGGTAGGTTTTCCTATTAAACCTTGATCAACGTTGAACTATTTGAAGGTTGTCCTGTTAAACCTTGATCAACGTTGAACTATTGGTAGGTTGCCCTATTAAACCTAGATGAACGTTGAACTTTTGGTAGGTTGTCCTGTTAAACCTTGATCAACGTTGAACTATTGGTAGGGTGTCCTGTTAAACCTTGATCAACATTGAACTATTGGTAGGATGTCCTGTTAAACCTTGATCAACGTTGAACTATTGGTAGGTTGCCCTATTAAACCTAGATCAACGTTGAACTTTTGGTAGGTTGTCCTGTTAAACCTTTACAAACGTTGAACTTTTGGTAGGTTGTCCTGTAAAACATTGATCAACATTGAACTATTGGTAGGATGTCCTGTTAAACCTTGATCAACGTTGAACTATTGGTAGGATGTACTGTTAAACCTTGATTAACGTTGAACTATTGGTAGGTTGTCCTGTTAAACCTTGATCTACATTGATCTATTTGTAGGTTGTCCTATTAAACCTTGATCAACATTGATCTATTGGTAGGTTGTCCTGTTAAACCTTGATCTACATTGAACTATTGGTAGGATGTCCTGTTAAACCTTGATTAACGTTGAACTATTTGTAGGTTGTCCTGTTAAACCTTGATCAACATTGAACTATTTGTAGGTTGTCCTGTTAAACCTTGATCAACATTGAACTATTGGTAGGATGTCCTGTTAAACCTTGATCAACAATGAACTATTGGTAGGATGTCCTGTTAAACCTTGATCAACATTGATCTATTGGTAGGTTGTCCTGTTAAACCTTGATCTACATTGAACTATTGGTAGGATGTCCTGTTAAACCTTGATTAACGTTGAACTATTGGTAGGTTGTCCTGTTAAACCTTGATCTACATTGATCTATTGGTAGGTTGTCCTGTTAAACCTTGATCAACATTGATCTATTGGTAGGTTGTCCTGTTAAACCTTGATCTACATTGAACTATTGGTAGGATGTCCTGTTAAACCTTGATCAACATTGAACTATTGGTAGGATGTCCTGTTAAACCTTGATCAACGTTGAACTATTGGTAGGTTGCCCTATTAAACCTAGATCAAAGTTGAACTTTTGGTAGGTTGTCCTGTTAAACCTTGATCAACATTGAACTTTTGGTAGGATGTCCTGTTAAAACTTGATCAACATTGAACTATTGGTAGGTTGTCCTGTTAAACCTTGATCAACATTGATCTATTGGTAGGTTGTCCTGTTAAACCTTGATCTACATTGAACTATTGGTAGGTTGTCCTGTTAAACCTTGATTAACGTTGAACTATTGGTAGGTTGTCCTGTTAAACCTTGATCTACATTGATCTATTTGTAGGTTGTCCTATTAAACCTTGATCAACATTGATCTATTGGTAGGTTGTCCTGTTAAACCTTGATCTACATTGAACTATTGGTAGGATGTCCTGTTAAACCTTGATTAACGTTGAACTATTTGTAGGTTGTCCTGTTAAACATTGATCAACATTGAACTATTTGTAGGTTGTCCTGTTAAACCTTGATCAACATTGAACTATTGGTAGGATGTCCTGTTAAACCTTGATCAACAATGAACTATTGGTAGGATGTCCTGTTAAACCTTGATCAACATTGATCTATTGGTAGGTTGTCCTGTTAAACCTTGATCTACATTGAACTATTGGTAGGATGTCCTGTTAAACCTTGATTAACGTTGAACTATTGGTAGGTTGTCCTGTTAAACCTTGATCTACATTGATCTATTGGTAGGTTGTCCTGTTAAACCTTGATCAACATTGATCTATTGGTAGGTTGTCCTGTTAAACCTTGATCTACATTGAACTATTGGTAGGATGTCCTGTTAAACCTTGATTAACGTTGAACTATTTGTAGGTTGTCCTGTTAAACCTTGATCAACATTGAACTATTTGTAGGTTGTCCTGTTAAACCTTGTTTAACATTGAACTATTGGTATGATGTCCTGTTAAACCTTGATCAACATTGAACTATTGGTAGGATGTCCTGTTAAACCTTGATCTACATTGATCTATTGGTAGGTTGTCCTGTTAAACCTTGATCAACATTGATCTATTGGTAGGTTGTCCTGTTAAACCTTGATCTACATTGAACTATTGGTAGGATGTCCTGTTAAACCTTGATCAACATTGAACTATTGGTAGGATGTCCTGTTAAACCTTGATCAACGTTGAACTATTGGTAGGTTGCCCTATTAAACCTAGATCAAAGTTGAACTTTTGGTAGGTTGTCCTGTTAAACCTTGATCAACATTGAACTTTTGGTAGGATGTCCTGTTAAAACTTGATCAACATTGAACTATTGGTAGGTTGTCCTGTTAAACCTTGATCAACATTGATCTATTGGTAGGTTGTCCTGTTAAACCTTGATCTACATTGAACTATTGGTAGGTTGTCCTGTTAAACCTTGATCAACATTGAACTATTGGTAGGATGTCCTGTTAAACCTTGATCAACAATGAACTATTGGTAGGATGTCCTGTTAAACCTTGATCAACATTGATCTATTGGTAGGTTGTCCTGTTAAACCTTGATCTACATTGAACTATTGGTAGGATGTCCTGTTAAACCTTGATTAACGTTGAACTATTGGTAGGTTGTCCTGTTAAACCTTGATCTACATTGATCTATTGGTAGGTTGTCCTGTTAAACCTTGATCAACATTGATCTATTGGTAGGTTGTCCTGTTAAACCTTGATCTACATTGAACTATTGGTAGGATGTCCTGTTAAACCTTGATTAACGTTGAACTATTTGTAGGTTGTCCTGTTAAACCTTGATCAACATTGAACTATTTTTAGGTTGTCCTGTTAAACCTTGTTTAACATTGAACTATTGGTATGATGTCCTGTTAAACCTTGATCAACATTGAACTATTGGTAGGATGTCCTGTTAAACCTTGATCAACATTGAACTATTGGTAGGTTGTCCTGTTAAACCTTGATGAACATTGATCTATTGGTAGGTTGTCCTGTTAAACCTTGATCAACATTGATCTATTGGTAGGTTGTCCTTTTAAACCTTGATCTACATTGAACTATTGGTAGGTTGTCCTGTTAAACTTTGATCAACATTGAACTATTGGCCATGTGCTCATATCAGTACTTTATGTTGTGATGCTGTAGGTTGTCCCCTCATTATGTGGATGCCATGAACAACCTGGCCATGATCTTAAGAGACAAACGCCAGTTCCAGGAAGCAGAGGAGTTGCTGGAGAGCGCCGTCAGAATTAGGTACCACTCCCTCAAGTCATGCTTTTGGTGGTGGTACACTCCTACCGATAGGAACCATTGTGAACAATCAATAACATCCGAGGACATTAATTCTTGTTATACTGCTATAAGTCGAAACCTGTTGTCTCGAAAACCTGAGAACGAGAGAAATAATCCGACTTATCCGGGGAATATTCATACAACTTGACCAAATCACCATCTGACCTAGCCATGAGCAAGGATAGAGCATGCCTACCACATGCCTATGTAAATAACATTTGTGTACAAGGAAATATAAAACAGAATGTCGGAATCTGATTAGCTGAGACACATTCCATTATGTTCACTGTATCCCGCTTACATGTAAGGTACTATTCTTATATTACCAGCTCGAAATGCTAAATAGTTGGCAGTAAATTTGCAACATATACACCAACCGCAAATTTGTATCCCGAATAATGATGTAAGACGCCATTCTCCGAATATCTATAATGCTTCATGAAATAGGTCCCGGAGGAATAACTGAGTTTGTTTTCTGTCGTCTGCATGGGCGAAGTGGATACATGCCTAACTGTGGTATTCGTACCGACTCGGACCAAAGCATGCATGCAGAAGACAATGATCTGGAAAATACCTCTGTTGTAATTATGTGCGGGGTAAGATACATTTGTTGTCCACCGGTCATCCGGGGGACATAGGTTGATGTAAATCTTGGTTTATGTTCCCTCGCCCTTCCCCCCGTTTATGTACCGAAATTAGAAGGCAAATATGTATTCCTGAACGAATGCAATTTGCAGCCCAAGCGACGCGGTATCCTGGCTGAACCTTGGGGTCGTACGAATAGGCCTACACAAGATGGGACCAGCAGAAGACAGTTTTCTGGAAGCTCTTCGACACCGTAGGAAGTATCCAGGCTGCCTTTTTAACTTGGGCAATCTGGTAAATGTTCTATTTTTGTGTGTGAGGACTAACACACACACACACACACACACACACACACACACACACACACACACACACACACACACACACACACACACACACACACACACACACACACACACACACACACACACACACAGAGAGAGAGACATACACACACACACTGTGAGTAGATATGGTTTCTTGTCTGATAAATAAATTGTTTCATCGTGTTCTTCAATGTGACTCTGAACATCAGAAACTGTAATCAATCATGATTTACATAATGTGTATTTAACACTATGCTTTAATTGTTATTACACTATTTGGATTATGACATAAGTGAGAGAAACGTGACTGACATTAAGTTCAGAAGGACACATTTGTGTCGTTAAAAGTATAGTTTAATAGTTTACCAGTAATAGCTTAGAGGGGTTTGTGATAACCGGTCTCACGTATTCCACTGGTCGGCAAAGACAAAATAAGAATTAAAATAATATGAATGGGGCACTGATCAGTGATGTCACAATGTGTTCGCGTAACATTGTAAGCAAGTCCTGCCCTACAGGCAGCACCCGCCCCTCGAACTATTTACATGATAAAGTAAGCGTGTGTTGCCTCCAGTCACACCTTTCCATGTAATACATCAGTGGGCGTCAACCAAACATGGAATCACTGATCATGTCAAGCTATTCCTTGAACTTATGTCCGAGTTTACGGCAGTGGAAATAGGGAAAGATAAGCTTCAAGTTTGTAATACAACATTGACTTTTCCAGTACAAATACCAAGGACGCCACACAGAGGCCATCAATGCATGGCAAAATGCTACACAGATGAGTCCTACATACACCGGAGCCTGGAAACACACTCTAATGCTTTTGCATGATCTGGGTAAGAAATAAAATAGTTAGCGTGTCTTTTCAGGTTTGGCTTGTAAGTCATGATATCAGAATTAATTAAACAATACTTGCTAGTAAAGAACTATCTCAGTAATCTTTTTCAGAATATGATTATTCCTAACTGAAAATATCATTGAAAGAACTATGAACCTGTTTAAAAGGTAACTTTATGCTGAATCTTCTTCCATCAGTATAAAGCGAGTTATATAGTCTATAAAAATGTTGTACATCGACCAAATCGTTTCCCCCATACAGGTAAATATGGCCGTGCTATCGAGGTTGGTAAAGAAGCACTAAAGGTACTTCCTGACGAAGCAGACCTGGTGATTAATCTTGCAAATGTGTACACGAAGGTAGAGAAGTTCAAGGAAGGCGAACGCCTGTTGCAGGCAGCCATCAAGGGAAACAAGAATCCACTTTTACATCATAGTCTAGGTATTGCATTTCAATCAGAGATTCTGTACCATATGTAAACAATCATTTGACTTAAACGTCTAGACGTCAGGCAGTTCCATATTTGTATATCTCATATAAGACCAAAGAAGCAGAAGAAGGTCCAAAAATATTCGAGAACCTACACTTCAAACATAACCTGACATAATTTCTCCAAAAATGCTTTTGTTTCAGGCATGTTATATTATCGTTGGGAAAAGTACGAGGAAGCTGAGAAAGCCATGTTGAGGGCAAAGCAGCTGTCGCCAAGTGATCCTCTAATCCTCAATGACCTGCAGATGCTTCATAGAAAAATGGGCAAAATCAAGTAAAATTGATTTCTGAGACGTTATACATTTATCACATTTGTACATGTTGTGGGAGCGGCTAAACAGAAGAGGTATGCTGACCTGATGTGAAGATTGTGCCTTGTCATGAAAGGAAGAATGGAAAAGCGCATAATATATTAATTTTGCAGTTTTACTTCAGAAATGGTATTTAGGACAAATCGCTTTGGTCCAAAATGTACAGTACAACCTAATTATAATGCCAAATGTTTCAATGTACAAAAGGTGGCATTATAACCAGGTTGTACTATATGTCCAATTTCTTCAGGGTGATATTAATACATTATAATGTAAGCTCAAAAACATATCATTGTTCTCATACTTCTTTTGTGTTTTTCACTAAAAAATCATGTCAATTTAACTATAGATTAGCTTCAGGGTATTTTAGAATATGCTCGACATATATGTGAAACCAATGCAAACATGTAGTTTATGTTTTGTCAGATGATATTGTATAGATATATTTATTATATTTTTAGAGGTAAGTTAATGCATTAAAGACATGATTCTCATTTAATTGTATTGTATTTGTGTTTTATATGTGTCTGAAGTGCTATTGGTGCTATTTCACAGCAGGAGACACAAGATAGATAGTACATGTGAGCCTGTGGAGCGCTGGTTTTCCACTTGTATCACAGATTGACAGTTTCATGTATATAGAGGGTCTAAAGTTTTCGCTGACGTTTACCAATTTTTGAAGCCAACTGGGTCAGATGTGGTCCAGACGTCCACGAAGAGTGGAACCTGGCATTACTGACAGACGCAAAGCAACACAGCAAACTGCATCGCTCGGCCACTTGATGGTAAAGACTGTAGAAGAGAAAATGGGTTTCTTGCTATGACTACGTTTCAGAGTCATGTGAAGTCTTCATTCGGGCACAAAAGCTCGAAGTCACGTCAATACAGGACGTGGGCAAAATAGCACATCCAGACACATCAAGCAGGCAATGGACCCCCTGAAGATCTGGGTTAGTATTGGTCTTCAGCAGCTAAAGACACGACTAAAGGGATCGGGAGGTCAGGCTCGTTGACTTTGCTGATGCATGTCGTCGTATCCCTATTGCATCGATCGATGTTCATGATGTCAATCCCCTGGATTGTCCCACCCAGACTAGACTATTTACAGGCCGCCAGTATGTGTTGGTGCACCTTGTGTGACATTATGAAAGACTTACGAGACTGTACACAAGAGAGCATTGCGGAAGCTGGTGTCGGCCGACTCGGTCTAGTTCAACTCTGCCTGTATAACATGTAGACTTACGAGACTACACACAAGAGAGCATTGCGGAAGCTGGTGTCGGCTGACTCGGTCTTGTTCAACGCTGGCTGTAAAACATGTAGACTTACGAGACTGTACACAAGAGAGCATTGCGGAAGCTGGTGTCGGCTGACTCGGTCTAGTTCAACGCTGGCTGTAAAACATGTAGACTTACGAGACTGTACACAAGAGAGCATTGCGGAAGCTGTTGTCGGCCGACTCGGTCTTGTTCAACTGTGGCTGTAAAACATGTAGACTTACGAGACTACACACACAGGAGAGCATTGCCGAAGCTGGTGTCGGCCGACTCGGTCTTGTTCAACTCTGGCTATAAAACATGTAGACTTACGAGACTACACACACAAGAGAGCATTGCGGAAGCTGGTGTCGGCCGACTCGGTCTTGTTCAACTCGCCTGTATATTATGTAGACTTACGAGACTACACACACAGGAGAGCATTGCCGAAGCTGGTGTCGGCCGACTCGGTCTTGTTCAACTCTGGCTATAAAACATGTAGACTTACGAGACTACACACACAAGAGAGCATTGCAGAAGCTGGTGTCGGCCGACTCGGTCTTGTTCAACTTGCCTGTACAACTCCCAAGTACATCCATGCCTCCAAGTTGAGTTGTGATCTGTAGCGTTGTCACTTGGGAGAAAAACCTGTATTTCCCCGAGTCTCGATCATGTATGTGGTGATTGATGAAACTTAACACTCATCGTCAATTTTTTAATGAACGAGTGTAATTGGCTAAACATATGGGTCTTCTGCATCACAATACAAGGCTAGCATTGCTCCTTTTGGCGGCAGATGGAAGATAAGACGAACGCCTCACCAGGACAGCATCTATCAGACCGTCCAAAAGTTCAACAAAATCCACAAGGTACATAACATGACACTGACGGAAACATTGGATGGAGTAGGCACGGTGTTGCAGGAAAGCAGTTTAAAACGTCATGTGGCTTCACTGTGGTCAGTCTATTGCATTATTGAATATTACATGATTTGGAATTCATGACCGCTTCCCGTCTTATTCCGTATGTTTAATGTATGCGCCTGTGCGTCAGGTGGCAGATACTATCTGTCGGCGTGTCACATGTTTTATTGATAAAATTATCCTATACTACTCTCCATGATATTTAGCATTTGGTTTCGTATGGCACATTTTGTTTGCATACAACGGACTTGTCGAACAACCGAAAACCACTTTCCTGTTGATGGAATATCAGCACATGATTGGTAGCAGAGACTTTATATGTGTAGGGTAAACATGGAAGTATCATATAAACAATTTACAAGTGTTCTAGTTCAATATTCATAATTTAAACATTGTTTAATAAATACTTTCTTCTTTCATACGCATGATAAATAAACAGACATAGTGACTTTATTAGTGCAGTGTCGTTTGTGGATATTATTTCTTTAAATGTATGCATATTACATAAGTGTCACATGTTTTAAAAGATATTTAATTCCAGTAGCATCAGAGGTAGATTAAAAAAATAATATTCATCCTCTATACGTCGATCACATTAGGGACAGTTTCTCATGCATATTTCAATCAGTTAACAGTAAATGTCAGCTATGTTTAACGGAGTGATTTATCTTTTTAAGCCCCTTGTGGGATAATTCGGATCCATTTTACTCTGGCAACACTGACACGAGTGGCCCAATGTCTAGGACGCCACAATTCACTTTGTAGAATTACATCCCAAGCCGTGCCAGGAACCACACGTGGTGGGTTCGAATCCCTGCTTCGCTCTGCCTGTGTCACTTGGTCTGTCAGTACCATATCTGTCTTCGTTGTTTTCACTGAAGCGATAAAATCGACGACCTGCGTCACTTTGGGCCTCCTCTTCGGACGACATGCCTTTTAACCGAAGAGTGTACGTGTGTCTTTTTTATTACAAATTACATGGAATGCGTTCCGGAATAGTTACAAAAATGATACACACGTAAGTCGTGCATTTAATGTATCCTGGCGTGTATCGTTCAAACCCGTGCCAGAGGAAAAGTCGATTTCTGCAGTCGATACGGCACATATGTTCACACAACAATCTATATTTGACTCAATTGATACCTCCTGCGACACAAACTGCTCTGTGAATGGCCATTGTTTAATACGTGACGTTACATCTACATCCGTGTTTACACGGATGTGACCTGTTTGAGGATCAGTGAGTATCAAGTCAGCAGCAAGGATGTCATTGGGAAGGGAATTTGTTTAGTCCTATATCGACATGGTCTTTTGGAGTCAGCCAGTATTTCCTCAACACATGTGAGTTGGAAATACAGCCTTCTGTACAAAGACAAGCGACGTTGTTGTCAACAAGCTGTTATTTCCCCGTGTATCGTGTGTTTACGTCGAGGCATGGCACATGACTAGGTAAGTAAATGTCACAGTGTCTAAAATCATTATGGTAAAAATGCAACATTTATGTGAAACTCTCAAACACTTGATATTAAATCAATATGTGAGTGAGTTGGGTTTAACGCCGCTTTTAACTGTATTCCAGTTATATCACGGCGTGTCAGCTTAATGTGGGAGGAAACCCCGAAGTGATGCAGGTCTCAGACGTTTACCACTTTGGTGAAACCCACGAGCACGGGTATGGTGCTGACAAACCTAGGAACATAATTGGGGAGAACCGGGATTCGAACCCACAATCATAGGTTTCTGGCGTGCCCAAGGGACGCAACTCTGCACAGCGAATCGCGGCGCCTTAGACGACTGGGCCATCCGTGCCCCCACATCTATGTATTTTGCTAGCAATTCGATATTCTACCGGACGTGTATGTGCCAATAATCTGTAATCATAGGGGCAAATCACGGATCGGCCTCATTATGTTTTTATATAGTCTAATTTGCTTGTATATTGAGAAAGAAAATCCGAAGAATAATCACTGTAAGAGTATATTGTAAAACATTGTTACATAGATGGTGGTTGTCATTTGACGCTAGTCTCTTTCATACTGTCACTATATAATCACCACATGGACATTCATCACTTGAACATTATGACGTCACAATAGTGATGCGTAATATACTACCGTTAGTATACAACGTCTCAATGACCGTTTCTTTTTCTCTAAGTTGGTCCGTTTAATTAATATTAAAATCTCCACAAAGGGCTGAATTGCTGCTGCGGAGGAGGAGCTTGTGTTTTGAATATGTGCAATATGACATATACACGCGGCATTCGTCACCACTCGCCTCTTTCCGTAACCTGAAAGAAGACTCGTCCCCCTATCGATGAATGTTATGTGCGAAAATACGACAAACCAATCAGACTGCGCGTATGATTTCAAATTCTTCGTCAAAGAATCCCTCAGAAATATGTTTTGATTTTACGTATGTCTTGCATCTAAAAAGATGCCCAAGATACAGTTAAATGTGTTCAATCATACTGTATAATTCCACACGTCCCGATGTGGTTTAAATTGCATCTGAAATATATGTAAAACATGGGGAAATAAATGTGAACCATTTCGCAGAGAATTGACAATTGTCTTAGGTATGCCCGTTTGCGCTAAAACGGAACCCGGTCGCAAAAATGGCCATGACAGGGGCACGAGTCGCTGTTCGTCTTGTCCTAAACTCTTCTCAAACATATTCGGCTCAACCAATCTCAGATCACACAATACTTCCCCTGTCACCAAAATGGTTCACATTTATATTGCCATGTAGAATGCAGATAAATCAAGTGTGTTCTTTTAATGAATCTCGAAATGGGATAATTTCAAAGCGCTTTTCCAAATGAGATTCATAGATATCGAATGTTCATTTGAAAGTTCTAAATTCAAAATACATCAGATAATAAGACTTGAGGCCTCGTATACACCATTAACCATCAACATATGAATAGCTCGAAACAGTGCAAGGTAATCTGTGGAGGTGATCTCAGATCAGTGGACGAGTAGGTACAGTTGGGTGATAAGCTAGCTACAGACGTGGTCTATCGCCATGGCGTCCAATATCTGTTGAATGAATCTATGCTGTGTACTCACATTAGGCCATTCATTAATTATTAAATTTTCAGCCCCATCCTCCCGAGAACTAAAAACCACGCTTTGTATACTTGTATGGTCCAGAGGTAGCGGGGGGCTAAAGAAAATCGCTGTATGTACACCTGATCCTTTCTTTCTCTGTATGTTGGACTACACCATATACGTAGTCCTACAAAACATTCACGATTCGTGTGTTTCGCATCAGGCGACAGACAATGTAAACAGATAATTAGTTAATTTCTAAGAAAAAATAAAATATAAAAAAGAACTCTTGTCTCAGGATTAAAATTGTGTAATGAAAGATTAATAATAAATTTATTGTTGCTTTATGGGGAATGAAATGGGCTTAACATTGGAGCTGCAACACAGGTTTCTCAATGCATATAGTTCTACCAAGTTATCGTACTTTGTATCTTTTAATTGCTATATGATGATTATATAGATTTACTTACACAAACTTTGTAATTTGATCAACAGAATAATAAACGTGTGATGATGGCCACAAGTACATCGACTTCCAGATTCCCCAAGACCGATGGCCATGTAAGCAGGTACCAGCAACCAGAATGGGATGATGCGCTGCCTGTACCCAAACTCAGCTTCTCTGTTGCATCTGTCCTCGTCTTCTGTCTGGCGGTACTGTGCTTCGCGAACAGCCATGACGGAGCGTTTATTTTTGATGATCTGTCGGCCATTACTACAAACAAAGACTTGCTTCCCGAGGCCCCGCTCTCCAACATTTTCGCTCATGACTTTTGGGGACATAAGTTGGACAACAGAAGTCACAAGTCCTACAGACCCCTCACAGTAATGACATACAGGTGAGCCATGGGCGCTATGAGACAGTTGGAATATTTCTCACTGGGGCGTAAAATATCCTTCCTTCGAGTACCGTCACATTGATATAAAGATCAGCGCACCTATAACTAAAACTGTTTATTTATCCCTGTATCTGGAAACACTAACTCTAGTCTAGTAAATAGAGCGGAAGATCGGTGGTAAGATCCCCTGGCCCCGTCATGCCAAAAAGATGGTACTTGTTACCGTTCTTGACGTTCGGAGTCGGTATACTTGGTCTGAGTGTGGTATCCATGGTATCTCAGTGGGGTAGCTATATAAAACCGGTTTGACCATTACTCGCTCCCTCGCTTCCTCCTTCTATCCTCCCCCTCCCTCCCTCCTCCCTCCCTCCTTCACTCACATACACAAACATTCACTCTTTTGGTTATCATAGTGTCAGTGACATATACTACAATATATAAAAATTTAGTGTTGCTTTATGGGGAATGAAATGGACTTAACATTGGATAGAGTAAGGACTTAACATTGAATAGAGTAAATTATACAGCTCATCTGTGGACTTTTGTATTATATATATATACATACATACATCAAAATATACAGCGAACATTCCCACCTTTATAATTATTCTTAATTCCAGGTGGAACTACGCCTGGGCAGGTGGCCTTCATCCTCGGGGCTTCCACGTTGTCAACATCATCCTGCACGGCTTGGTGTCGGTCATCTTCCTGGCAGTATTCTCTGTCCTCATGTCTGGTTACCAGGTGGACCAGGAATCTGCCAGGCCGGTGTTTGCCTCGCCCCGAGCTTCTCTCCTGTGTGCTGTGTTGTTTGCTGTGCATCCCATTCACACTGAAAGTGTGGGTTCAAACTGCTTCTAATGTTCTAGTTAGCGGTAGAAACGCTTCAAAGCTGGGCCAAGCATAGTTCATTCACATAGTTCACATATGTATGAGCGTCAGTTTATTTATTAAGTAACTGAAAAAGCTTCCAAGCTGCGGTTCGCAAAAAAACGTTCATTTACGATTATATTATTTCAAAACTCTTCATTAAGAACTAATATTGTGATTGTGCAGCTTCATTCAGAACTAACATGTAAAACAAATGATTTGATGTTATTTTAATATATGCATAAACCACTTCAACAGGTGTCTTGTTTGAGACCTGGTTATCATTGTGTTATCACGATAGCTACAGGAACACCGAAGATGATAACACATGACTGTCTTTGTTTCAATTCTGAAAAAAACTGGAGTTTTTTCACCTTTTGCTTTATATTGCCAGGGTGAGAAATGGCAAATACTTTGCCTCGAACAAAAGCAGTCTTACAATTGAAGACATACAGATATTACAAATAAAGCTGTAATCATATACAGTGTCAATATATTATTTGCTCCCTTAATACCCACTTGTTCCAGGTAGCAGGGGTCGTGGGTCGGGCTGATCTGCTGTGTGCCTTGACCTTCCTCCTTTCATTCCTGCTGTACGCCAGGGCCTGCCTCTCACGTAAGTCTTGTGATTATGCAGCTGATGTGCTGTGATTGTGCAGCCGATGTGTTGTGATTGTGCAACTAATGTGTTGTGATTGTGCAGCTGATGTGTTGTGATTGTGCAACCAATGTATTGTGATTGGGCAGCTGATGTAATGTGATTGTGCAGCTGATGTGTTGTGATTGTGCAACCAATGTATTGTGATTGGGCAGCTGATGTGTTGTGATTGTGCAGCTGATGTGTTAGGAATGAACTGCTGATGTGTTGTGATTGTGCAGCTGATGTGTTGTGATTGTAAAGCTGATGTGTTGTGATTGTAAAGCTGATGTGTTGTGATTGTAAAGCTGATGTGTTGTGATTGTAAAGCTGATGTGTTGTGATTGTAAAGCTGATGTGTTGTGATTGTGCAGCTGATGTGTTGTGATTGTAAAGCTGATGTGTTGTGATTGTAAAGCTGATGTGTTGTGATTGTAAAGCTGATGTGTTAGGAATGAACTGCTGATGTGTTGTGATTGTGCAGCTGATGTGTTGTGATTGTGCAGCTGATGTGTTGTGATTGTAAAGCTGATGTGTTGTGATTGTAAAGCTGATGTGTTGTGATTGTGCAGCTGATGTGTTGTGATTGTAAAGCTGATGTGTTAGGAATGAACTGCTGATGTGTTGTGATTGTAAAGCTGATGTGTTGTGATTGTAAAGCTGATGTGTTGTGATTGTAAAGCTGATGTGTTGTGATTGTAAAGCTGATGTGTTGTGATTGTAAAGCTGATGTGTTGTGATTGTAAAGCTGATGTGTTGTGATTGTAAAGCTGATGTGTTGTGATTGTAAAGCTGATGTGTTAGGAATGAACTGCTGATGTGTTGGGAATGTACATGTATAGCTGATGTGTTAAGAAAGTATAACTCTCATGTTGTGTCATATGGTTTCGATTTTACCGTCAATTCTACCATAATTCTACTGGCTTATAATAACAGGATGTCTTCAGCAGAACCTCAACATACTTTATTGAACGAAATGTCATTCTCTGAATTCAGCTACATCCATGGTCAGTTACCGTCCCGAGTCCTTCTCCCTGGTGTCTCTACTGGCCAGTATGTGTCTGTGTGTGGTGTCCACCTTCTGTAAGGAACAGGGCATCACTGTCATTGTAAGTGTATTCAGTGTTTCATCCCTGGTCAGTTACCGTCCCGAGTCCTTCTCTCTAGTGTCTCTACTGGCCAGTATGTGTCTGTGTGTCGTGTCCACCTTCTGTAAGGAGCAGGGCATCACTGTCATATTAAGTGTATTCAGTGTTTCATCCCTGGTCAGTTACCGTCCCGAGTCCTTCTCCCTGGTGCCTGTACTGGTCAGTATGTGTCTGTGTGTCGTGTCCACCTTCTGTAAGGAACAGGGCATCACTGTCATAGTAAGTAGATTCAGTGTTTCATCCCTGGTCAGTTACCGTCCCGAGTCCTTCTCCCTGGTGTCTCTACTGGCCAGTATGTGTCTGTGTGTGGTGTCCACCTTCTGTAAGGAGCAGGGCATCACTGTCATAGTAAGTGTATTCAGTGTTTCATCCCCGGTCAGTTACCGTCCCGAGTCCTTCCCCCTGGTGTCTATCCTGGCCAGTATGTGTCTGTGCGTCGTGTCTACCTTAAAATAATAAAATCCTGCCAAACTGAAATTCTGAAATTCATTTCGTAATGAATAGTAAATTAAATAGAACAGTTTAATTCAGAGAGGAGATCCGTCAACGTTTAACTCAGTTACACCAATTGGTTATCATTTTGTCTTGTGTTCACAGGGTATATGTAGTGTTTATGACATCATCATGGTGTGTCGAGTCCATCCCGTGCAATGGCTGTCAAATAGGAAACACCGTGTCAAAGATAAGGTAAGGAATGAAGAAGGAGTGCGATAAAGGTCCAACAAAGGATTACTTCGTACTTCTATGCTGAAATCTTTTCGCAAGGACATACAGGACATGCAGATGCCCATGATAGTTTAGTTATTTGTTTTGACAGCAGTGTGATTGTCTAATTTCAATATGAAACATTTTCCAGAATTTATTCAGTGATGAAAGGAAATATAACTAATGTGTTGAAAAGAATGATCTACTCTGTACTGGCAGGGTGATCTGCTTGTTTCATACAGCAACATTCCCTTCCTAATGTGTTCTGGTATTGTGATCTGTAGGTCTTGGCTTCGAATCCCAGATTTGCTCACATTACAATCATTAGTTATCAGCAGCGCACCATACGTTAATTGGTATTTTACTGTATTTTATTTTATTTTATTTTGACGCAATATTTTACAGTTGATATATTGTTCAAATTAATGTTAAGAATTCATTCAGTTTAGTGGCACTTTATACATTATCAAATCTGCTTTGAATACGGTTGTTACGATGTTTGCTACAGCAGGAAATGAATCTCTGGATCAAGGGTCTCCTCGTGCGTCACCTCATCCTGTTCCTGACTGGCGTGTCACTCCTCTTCACTCGACTTAGAGTCAATGGATTTGCAACACCAAAATTCACTTTGGAAGACAATCCACATTCGTTTGTAAATGGCACTATATCGAAAGTAAGTACTGTACTACAAACCAGCAGATTGAAGAAGAAAATCCGATTTTTTTTTAAAAGTGCACACATATACTCTTTTAAATGCAATAAACATCGATAAAGTAAATTATCAACATAGTCTAGGGACATGCGATAACTGTCATTCACCATGACTTTCAATATATCACTGAAACCAATAAACACAACTCTGAGTCTCTCCAATAGGGGCATTGGTGTAGATGTTCAAATAGTGAATAATATTTTCAACTAATATTGATCTGATCCAAACGGTTACCATGTTCATGTTTAATGATAGATAGATCATATCTATATGGTGCCTCGTTTCTTCACATTTCTAACCTTATGTTATTTGCCGAGACACTAAAATGGATCACTAAGTTCAAAATATTCGAAACTATATTACACATAAATGAAGGACTGATCTGGATAAATCACCTTGAAACTGTCCCTTGTGGAAAAAAGGATTCAAAGTTGAATACCATGTGTTATTTCTTTGCCTGATATATATTTATGTTGCAGATTTTGAACTACAATTACATCTATACCATCAACGTTTGGCTGCTGTTGAATCCATGGTGGCTATGTTGTGATTGGTCGATGGGCTGTATACCTGTCATCACCTCATTGGCTGATCTCAGAATACTGGCAGACATAGCTCTCTGGGTTGGGTTGGGTGTTTTGTTCTGTCATTGTTTCCATGGTGAACTCAGTAGAGATCGAAGGTATATATATGATTTGATATAGATGATTTCAACATACAAAAAGTTCTTCCAAATTGAAACACTGTCATTTACATAGTCTATACAATTGACAGGTAGTATTTTGTCTAAGTAAGCTGGTAAACACAAAGTTCAGGTCTTATAACGACTTTTTAAGTCCAGTGGTATAATGGACAATGACGAAGAAGCATCTTCAAGACATTTGTAAGATTTCTAATAAGAGCAAGACCTTTGCCAAATGTTTCTTAAGTGATGTGAAAAGGCGCTGAAAGTGGCCTCTTAGTGTGTCACAGATTGGCTTAAAGGGCTTTTATGACACTTGCAATTCTTGAAGTGTACAATTCCGAATATCAATACACAATAACATCATAACATCAAACACAGCAGGACGAACTGGATTGTTTTAGAGATCTAAAAATGGATGTAAGGTCCTTAAATAAACCATGACAGCATTTATATAATGTTTCACCACAAACCGATCTCAGTGCTACGCCGCATAGGGGTTACAGTCGAAGCGTTACAAATTAAGTCTATGTTAATGTATACGACAATAGTCAGAGTTACGATTGCGTTGTGGGACGAGAGCCGAATTACCTGTATACTGTAACAAATACCCCAGGAAGTCCCCTACATTTAGATGTGATTTCTATCTGCAGGATCCTGATAACTTCTCTGGCAGTGTTGGGTATTCCCTTCCTGCCCGCCAGCAACCTGTTTTTCCGTGTGGGCTTCGTGATCGCAGAGAGGAACCTGTACCTGTCCTGTGCTGGCTTCTGTATGTTGGTGGTGCTCGGGGCAAGGCAGATCTACCATCAACTTTATCCCACAATCAAGAAGGTAAGGTCCCAAAGAGCCTTGATAAGTCGAACTAAAAAGATAATGGTAACGTCACCTGCACTGACCATCCAACACAAGAGTCGATGACCACGACTCCAAGGTAGAATTGGTCGTCAGCAACCCATGCTTGTTGTAAGAGGCGACTAACGGGATCGGGTAGTCAGATTAAGTGACCTGGTTAATACATGTCATCGTATCCCAGTTGCTTAGATGGATGTTAAAGGTGTAAATCACTGGATTGTCTGGTCTACACATGATTATTTACAGACCAATGCCATATACCTGGAATTATGATGAGTGCGGCGTTAATCAACAAAAACTTCGAGAGACATATTCCTAAAGTAGAGAAAAGAGAACGGTGTTTTACAGTAAGCCAATAAGATACATGTCCCTTCGTCAGAATTGGTATATGTTTACCTGAGGCCAGACACAGGAAAAATGGTCACATTTGAGATAACATTTTTTGGGATGATGTTGACTTTTCGAATAAGCCGGGATGTACTTTTTGTTCCCCTTCATCGTGCTGCATGACACGTAATTTCCCAATCAATGAAGGTTACGCTTTGGCGGATAATAGTCTGTTTCAAAATACTACTCCCTAATGCTGCTATTAATAGTAAATCAAAATGACGCAGGAATGTTAATGACATAACACAAGGAATTCTTCAGCCAGGCATTGATTTGCCTACTGTCCAAGTCCAACGTCGATAACCATATGATGGGGGTAGTCAGAGGCGGATCCAGTATTTTGAAAAGGGTGGTAACTTGGTGTGCAGTTAATATGTAAGGTGTCTGGAAAAAGGGAGTTGTGCAGCCATGTAGCCATGTAGCCATGTAGCCATGTACATATCGATTGTTATACACATTTCACGCTAGTCCTTGTATTGTAACATGGTGCAATCGGTTTCATTGACCGTTATCTTATACAAATAAACTATGGTTCGATTCTGAGGTGGTATACTTTCTGTTTGGGCTGTACTCCCCATGCATATGGTAAAGGTCTATTATCAACACAGCATTGTAGTTAGAAATGCTTTTACTCATTAAATGATATTGAATAGTACTAAGGATAAACACAATTCAGTTCACTCTGTTTCAGTAGTTTGAAGCTATCGACTTGAAACAAAATAGTTTAGATTCAATTTGTGTATAACAAGTTATCCTAATGTATTTCTGTGTTACAGTGTGTGACAGTCGGGTTTATAGTCATCATACTGCTGTATATTCTACGATCGATGGAGGTGAGTCTTTTAACACATAGTTCATAGATAATTAAGTACAGTTGTATGCCTTAAATATCAGTTCAATGTAAAAAAGTACAATCTTTTAACGTCACCGGGGATAGAACCCCCGACCTTACGCTCTCCGGAAAGTCTATCCACTAGACCACGGAGGCGGTTCAATATCAAACATCTGCACATCATTGATCCTGCTAGCTCCATATGTGAACACCGTATTGATTGACCAATGGTGAATAAATGAAACTGAAGGTGGGATAAATGAACGTATTCTTTCAGAGGAGCAGGGATTTCAGGGGAGAAGTGGCGTTATTCACATCTGGAGCCAACGTTTGCCCCCTGAATGCTAAGGTAGATACTATACCAACAGCCTGTTATAAAACAAGTTGCTATTTCCTGAGGTATCAGTAAACTTCAGGAAAATAATAAGTAATTTTTTGGTCTTCCATATACTTTGTTTTGAAGTCGTTCACATTTTATTTTGTAACGTGAATCACTCCAACAGCAGCAAGTTTTTTTATATCATGCATGGCCCGTTTGTGCATAATATAGTACACTGATCTATAAAAGTTGGCATCAGTAACAGTTAAGCTCTCACTTCTCCTGCTCGTGTAGAAATTTCGACTTATAGTAAACTTGAACGATATGAGGTCTTCAAATAAACGAAATAGCTAGCCCCTAACACTGTGTTAACGTTTTGAAGATTCACTACAACATTGGAAACGTCCAAGATCAGAACAACAATACAGATATTGCCATTGGTGAATACAGGCTAGCTTTGAAGTAAGTATGTAGACGTGTACCGTGTTCGACGTAATAAGCGCCAAGGGCGCTCTCAAAATTAGAAATAGGGGGCTCTTATTAGAATATTATTTTGGTGAAAAAAATCAGAGTTAAAAGATCGTAGATTTCGTGGTTAATGCTGACAGCCTGAAATGTTTATATACGACAGATATATTTTTTCAGGACTTAAATGCCCATAATTAAGGTACATATAACACACGAGTGCGTATTATACACGAATAAATAAGTCTTGTGTACATTGATCAATCGGAAGGGGTGCTAATTGAGATTGTTCACTAGCCAATATATTAGCAAATATCGCCGTGGGCGCTTATTAGAGCGGGGCGCTTATAACGTCGAATACAGTATGTCTTTATAACGACATAAGAAGTATCATGGCACAAATTCTGCACCAAATTTTTTTCTAAATTCTATTTCTGCCTCTCTGTTTAACAGTAATTTGGTCCAGGGTTTCAAGAAGTAATAGGGGCGGTCGGTATGATAAATAGAGAATCTCACCCGAGTGTCTTTTGATATCAAATATATCAACACGAGTTGATAAATTGACTGTCACATATTCCTACTTCTTTGATATTTCGCATTCATCTTTTAATTAAATGCCCAAATTACTTTGAGGAGCTAGATTTAGCAACTAATGATTGTCTGTCGCAGGTTCTTTTGATAGATGTTTCATAATAGAGGAGCAGGTGGTAACAGTGTGTGAACGGGCTCACTTTACGTCATCGTACATGTTATTGGATCGTTGCTCATATCATCAGCCATTGGTTTGCCTGGCTCTGCTGCTTGGATGCTTATTTGTGTGTTGTTCAACGCCACACTATACAATATCCCAGCTATATAACGGTGGCCTGTACACAATTTAGTCTGGACAAGATTGATCAATGTTACACAATTTAGTCTGGACCAGACAATCCAGTGACTGATATTGTGAACAACTATCCACGTCATTAGGGTACGATGACACACTATCAAGCAAGTCACCCTGTCTGACCACGCAATTTGGTCGCATATATACCTGGGGACCTATTCTAACCCGAAATTCCTACTGGGTGATTGGATGCTTGACACCATGATGTAGCTTCAATGTTACTTACTGCGGCTTAAAACAACATGCATATACTATTTTACACGTGTTATATTTGCTTAATATGCTGAAAGAGATCTATTGAACATTTGGCAACGTCGTGTTTCCTAAGGCTGCATCCACAGTACCACGCTGCTTTGATAAACCTGGGAGTCATCCTGCGGAAGAGAGGCAATGGATTGGAGGCAAAGGAGCTTCTGGAGAGAGCCATCGGTAACAGGTACCATCACTCGTTGACTTTCTTTAACAAATAGAGTGAGTATGGTTTTACGCCGCTTTTAGCAATATTCCAGCAAAATCAAGGCTGGTGACACCAGAAATGGGTTTCACACATTGAACCCATGTCGGGAATCGAACCCGGGTATTCGGCGTGACGAGCGAACGCTTTAACAACTAGGCTACCAGACCGCCCCTTAATCAAATAGAAGCACAATGTTGGTATGTTTACTACGTAAGGGCTACGTCTACTTATACAACTATTGTTGATGTACAGAAATAGAGACCCGTGAAGATCCGGCGAACAACAGGTCTTCAGCAACCAATGCTTGCCGTAAAAGGCGACTATGCTTGTCGTAAGAGGCGACTAACGGGTGGTCAGGCTCGCTGACTTGGTTGATGCATGTCATCGTTTCCAAATTGCGTGGATCGATGTTCATGATGTCAATCACTGGATTGTCTGGTCCAGTCTCGATTATTTACAGACCGCCGTCATATTGTTGGAATATTGCTGAGCGCGGCGTTAAACAACAAACAAACAAACAAAAATAGAAGCAACAAAAGCCTTTTCATAATGATAAGAAATCTCTGCTGGTTGAAGGTTCTGAGTATAAGATTAATTCCGTGATCTAAGACGAATGACACAGCTGTGAAACATTACGTCCTCAAACCGATCAAGGATACGCTGATTTGAGGTCTGACCGAGGATCATAATTGGGTGAATCAAAGTTTGGAACCAAGTAAAAGCGTATCCTGAGTTTAAAGTCTCGATTTACCAGCATGTCTTGCTTGACAACGGTATGAGGACCTATTCAGAAACGACGCCTTTACAGAAAAAAAGAATCTGTTACCCATAAATTGTGTCTCATTTGTGATCCTTGGTATTTCAAAACCATTCTCGTGCTTATGGGTTTCACCATATTGTGTCCGATTCCCCCATTTTCAAACACATCGTTTGGGAAATACTCTTACCACATAGATTCCACCTCCATTACATATGAGTCTTTGGTAAACGTTTGTAACATTCAACCTGAGGAACATTCAACTGATGTCCTCATTCTTATTCCAAGACCAGACTCAGAAGAGGCATGGATGAACCTGGGCATTGTGCAGGCTCAGCTGAATGAACCAGAGTCTTCAGAAGCAAGCTTCCTCCGGGCCCTTCATCTCAACAGCGCGTGCACAGACTGTCACTACAACCTGGGTAACCTGGTGAGTCTTTGTTGTTGATGATGTTGTTTATATATACTACTCAAAAGAAGTTAAGGATCACCTGATTCTTTCATATTACTACAGTTAATCTCTCATGTCATGACAGATTAACTTTACCATTATGAAAGAATCGGGTGATCCTTAACTTCTTTTGAGTAGTATAATTAACACCGCAATCAGCAATATTCCAGCTATATGACGGCGGTTTGTAAATAATCGACTCTGCAACAGAAAGTCCAGAGATCGGCATCATGAGCATCGATCCACGTAATTGGGATACGATGACATGCATCAACCACGTCAGCGAGCCTGACCACCCGATCCCTCTTACGACAAGCATGTGTTGCTGAATACCCTAGATCTTCACGGGTGAGTCTAATACAAGGCCTGCAATGTTTTCCGCGATTTAGTGTTTCTTCAATCGTTTGTTTTGAGCTGACATGTCCAAAGAAAACGTAATTGTAATATTCAACCGAAACCGAAGACATGCACATTCACAGTGTTTCGTCTATAATTTTAAAGCTTCAATAAATCTAATAATTCTGTTAAATCAAATTAAACCTCTGACATGAATATACCCTGAATTATTGTCTTGGGTCTCGTTCTGACTTTCAAATGAAATGTTCAATCACCTCTTCCTCAAGTGAGTGAGTGAGTGAGTATGGTTTTACGCCGCTTTTAGCAATATTCCAGCAATATCACGGCGGGAGACACCAGAAATGGGCTTCACACATTGTACCCATGTCGGGAATCGAACCCGTGTCTTCGGCATGACGAGCGAACGCTTTAACCAATAGGCTACCCGACCGCCCCCTGCCTCAAGTGAACTGCATCTCTCTGAAAACGGGAACAAGCGCCACCTGACACCGTGTACACCTTAGTACGTAGTAGCATCCCCATAAATGTATTTAAAAACATTTATTTTCTATTTTAAAATCGATATATACGTTCTGAACCCGTTACGTACACGTTTATCAATGCATTATGACCGAAATAATAATGCATTTTGTACGGGCATATATCTCGTGAGAAATGATAATGTGACGATAGTCGTGAACAGTACCGTATGAGACGAAATCCATAACAGCGAGAGTAAACATGATATGATCGAGGCTCATTTTCCACAATTGTTCAAATCCAGCAGAATATTAAGTCAAATTAAATATTTTACTGCTTGAATATTTGATATTTTACCAGCTTTGAGATGTTTGGTTTCTGTCAGAAATATAATAAAAATGTTTGAGTTTTACAAGCTTTGAGATGTTTTACATTGTATATTCCTACAGTACAAGTTCCTTGGACGTCATGAAGACGCTATCACTGCGTACCGGAACGCTACTCAGATCAGTCCGACCCACGCTGGAGCCTGGAAAAACTCTTTCCTCATCCTTGATCAGCTGGGTAAGAGATGGGATACTCGCTATCCACAGTGTCGCTTCAATGTTGCGGGAAGCACAATAGATGAGACAACCAGTCTAAGTAGATTGTGAGTGCGTGCGTGCGTGCGTGCGTGCGTGTGTGCTTGCTTGCGTGCGTGCGTGCGTGAGTGAGTGAGTGAGTGAGCATAGTTTTACACCGGCAGGGGACTTCAGAAATGGGCTTCACACATTCTACCCACGTGGGAAATCGAAAAATGATTTAACCACTAGGCTAGGCCCAAATCCACTCAAAATCAGTTATCCGCATATAAACGTTCTGCATATATCCAGTAAACATTTGCACATTAATGATATTACACGTGCCATCCAGATATTGAAATATTGTATTCATATGGCACTCCATGATACATCTCCTGTACAGAATGTCTTCGTACTACAAGACATAGATACATCCAGACGACATCTGTTTTTGTCAAATACAGGGAAGTACGACCAGGCTATTGTGGTGGGTAGGAAGGCTGTGGTTCTGCTTCCCGAAGAGACGGGCCTGATGGCTCGTGTGGCCAGTGTCTTCATCAAGGTAAAGATGTATCAGGAAGGGGAAAAACTCTTTCTGAAGGCCCTACGAAGAGACAAATCCAAGTATTACATACATCATAACCTAGGTATGTTTTGTTTTTGTTTTACGCCGCACTCAGCAATATTCCAGGTGTATGACGTCGCCTTTACAGAAGTTAAAGAAGCTGTTATCCATAATTAGTGTCTTATTTGTGATCCTTGGTATTTATAAACCATTCTCATGCTTATGGTTGGTTGGTTTGTTGTTTAACGCCGCACTCAGCAATATTCCAGCTATATGACGGCGGTCTAAATAATCGAGTCTGGACCAGACAATCCAGTGATTGACATCATGAACATCGATCCACCCAATTGGGATCAATGACATGGATCAACCAAGTCAGCGAGCCTGACCACCCGATCCCATCCGAGTTGCCTCGTCGCCTTTTACGGCAAGCATGGGTTGCTGAAGACCTATTCTACCCCGGAACTTCACGGGTCAGGCCAGATATATAACTGATATCTGTGATCGAGCCTGGACCAGGCACGGGGATGGCAGCATGAGATCCACGCATTCGGCATGGTGACAAAAAACTCAGCAAGATCACACAGTTTAACCACCCAATCCTCATTTGTTGACTCATGTTCTTAAGAATGAGTAACTGTGGCCTTTTTGTCCCTCACATCCCCAGGTTCGTGTGATGCAACATATTATAGCTAAAATGAATAGAATTATCAGAAATATGCAGGCCACTAAAACTTGATAATGCCCGTTGTGTGTTGATTGCAGTAAATGTTCAAAACCGATATTTTTTTTGTATTTTTATTTGATAACAAAATCTTTCCAGTTTAGCTATAATAACGGTAACGTAATTTTTCAGGGCATTATAATTTGCAGAAGCCCTCGGTCTTTTCAAGTATTGGAGAAAACACGCTTACGAGGTTCGCCCCTTGGTTTTTCCCTCTCCGCAGGGCATGCTCTGTCTACCAAAACCGAGGGAGAGTGTTTTTCCATACTTATAAATCGATAAAAGAAACTTAAAACAACATTTATCAACATTTTATGTTTCGAACATACTTTCCATGGACCTTAGGAAACGCGCGTAAAATATCTGTTGCTGGCGTACGGATCTTGAAAAGGACATTCTAAAAAACAGTGAGGCTTATCAACACCTCTGTAGCCTCGTGGTACACTCACTGGGCTACAGATATGAAGGTTGCGAATTCGATCCTCGGGAATATAAAGAAAACATTTGTCATTTGATTTTACATTTCATTACATGGTACAATCTGAACGGAAGTTACATTAATAAAATACCCAGGACATTATATATAATCCCTGGGATATTATAGCAAATATGACTTGAATATCCTATAAAATCCCTGGGATATTATATAAAATCCCAGGGACATTACAACGTCCCTGTTTATGAGATTTAACCCGACTGGAAAGTAACACCTCACAATAGGTTTTAATGCCTACAGAAAGAAGTCTCTTACTTAATAGCGATCCCAATGAATAGGTTTATAATGGAAGACCTCCGGCTTCTGCAAATGATAATGCCCTGTAAAAAACGTTACTCTTATATGAAATAACATTTACGTGTTTGATAGCTTCAATATCTTATTCGTTGACTGCTACATTTAAGTAAGTTTTGGGGTATAATGCGCCTCAATTGTCTGTGTACAGTTGCTCTAGATTTCGAATCTTAGATCCGATGTTTGTAGGAGTGTCGGCACAATACACATGCTTGTGGATCTTAGGTGTCAGCGTCTAAGACCTGCATCACTTCACTTTTTACCCACTGATATAAAATTAATGTTTTCAAGGCGGCGTTCAGCCAACTGACTCACACTTGAAACACACTAATATGATTGTCTGTCTGTTTCAGGTGTGCTATATACTCAGTGGGGGCAGCATGACAAAGCCGAGGCATCCCTTCTACTGGCACAGAAGCTAAACCCAAACGATCCGCTTATCCGTAACAGCCTGCAACAACTTCATAGCAATATGGGGAAAGTCAAGTAAACTGAACATGACTGTAGGATGGGCTGTAGTTCAGTATCATCTGAGAACGAACTGTGCAGAGTACAGGAACCCTGTATGAATGGGAATGTAACATATGTGATCCATATGTCAATGTATATTTAAGACATTGTCCAATTTATACTTCTATGAAAAAAACGAGCAGGCGTCTACGTGATCTGCGCGAGTAATCATACGTTCTTGAACACAAAGTGATTCTTGAATGCTATTGGCTAATGTTTTGTTTGTGTGCTTGTTTGTTGTTTAACGCCGCACTCAGCATTTTTCCAGCTATATGACGGCGGTCTGTAAATAATCGACCCTGGACCAGACAATCCAGTGATTGACATCATGAACATCGATCTACGCAAATGGGATACGATGACACGCATCAACCAAGTCAGCGAGTCGCACAGCTGACATATATGTGAGGGATCAGAAGATATATCACAAAACACAAAACATAACGTGACACTTCATGAAAAGAATAGTACAGGCTCCCGGGCATACAGTACAGCCAATAACGTGAATACTGATTGTAGTTGTGGGTCAGTCTTGTATGCAGTGATTCAATGATGTATGACGGATCAAGGGGCTTCTAGTTATATCCAGGAGGGAATTAGTGAGTGAGTTGTGTTTAACGCCGCTTTTAACAGTATTCCAGTTGTATCACGGCGTGTCAGCTTAATATGGGTGGAAAGCCTGAGGTGATGCAGGTCTCAGACGTTTACAACTTCAGTGAAACCCACGAGCACGGGTATAGTGCTGACAAACCTAAAAACATAATCGGGGCGAACTGGGATTCGAATCCACAATCATAGGTTTCTGCAACTCTGCACAGCGAATCGCTGCGCCTTAGACGACTGGGCCACCCGTGCCCCCTGTTATATCCAGAGATTGTGAAGTGACTATATTACTGATCACTGTGGTTGCTGTGGGGGATGAAGCGTAAATGAATAGATACTATTAATATTTTGTATCACTTTTGCGAAGAAGGTATGAGAAGCGTATATATATTTAAGATATACAATGCATGCCAAACACTAGACTGAAACAATGCCCTAAAACAATGAGGTCTCATGGTGATCATGTTATAGCGTCATAACGGCTTCGCATTTTATTTTAATTTTCATGAAATTAAAATTAAAATATGATTCCTATTATTATAATTCCTAGTTTCTTATTTATTTATTGCTGATTGTGGCATTCGGTGATGAAGTCGAATAATAATATACAAGGACGCGCCACAAGTTAAGACCCAAATGTGCGTCGTGGGGTCCTCTATCGCGAAATTAAGTTCTAAGTCGTCAATGGCACTGGTACGTTGTCCTTCGTAATAAAAGGAATATGACGTGAAGAACCTTTTGTGGCCGTAGTGTAATACTATATACCTCCAATTGGTAATGTTCTCTGAACTAAACTGATCTCATCTTAGCCTGGACATCCTCCATGGTCTAGTGGTAGAGCGTCCGCCAGGAGAGCGGAAGGCCCGGGGTTCAATCCGTGTCATACCAAAAGACGCTAAAAGATGGTACTTGTTGTTACCCTGTCTAGCATTCGGTATTAAGGGACTAAAACAAGGACAGTATACTGTGTCTGAGTGGGGTATTCATGTTAAACTGCGGCATGGTACGTATCTCAGTGTGCTTGCACTATTAAATCGGCATTAGTCTGGACTAGTACAAGCAGCCACACACATGCATGCATGTCACTATATAAGTGTAATAATCTTGGACGCGACGTTAAATCCCATTTCACATCACCTCATCTTAATCTGAAAATCCTGCCATGGATAGAAGCATCCCTTTCCAACATGATTTCCGACCCTTGAAGATCCGGGGTAGAATAGTTCTTCAGCAACCCATGCTTGCCATAAAAGGCGACTATGTTTGTCGTAAGAGGCGACTATCGGGATCGGGTGGTCAGGCTCGCTGACTTGGCTGATGCATGTCATCGATCCCAATTGCAAGGCTCTCTGACTTTGTTGATACATGTCATCGTTTCCCAATTGCGTGGGTCGATGCTCATGATGTCAATCACTGGATTGTCTGGTCCAGACTCGATTATTTACAGACCGCCGTCATATAGCTGGAATATTGCTGAGTGCGGCGTTAAACAACAAACAAACAATCAACATGATTTCCACATGTGAATTTCGTTCGATTGCATTGATGTCAATGCCTTTGGACTTTGTCCGTACGGTGTCTTTATTAAAATCTAAACACATTTGGTAGTAATAAAGTAGTTTCTTGTTGGGTAATAAGACCAATAGGTCATGACTATAGAGACCATATTGGGAGTGCAGCGGAAAACTCAAGTAAACGATAGATATAAACATATGGAAACAGACCCCCACAGATAGTTGAACTGGATACACGGCTGCGGGAGCCGGAAATGCTTACCCGTCTCAAGAACACCTGGGCCCACTTGCACAAAGCGATCTTAGCGCTAAGATGATCGTAACTCCCATACTTTAACATAGGCTTACGATAGTCTTAGCGCTAAGATCGCTTTGTGCAAGAGGGACCTGGTGTCATCAAAGAGTTTCACTGATCCATTCACATAATTTTCATCACCATTTTACACCCAATGGAATCTGTTTCGGCAGATAATCTAGACTGACGTTGACGTTTGTATTTAGATGAAATAATGCATGGCCTCAGCAGACCATGCCTTGTTTACTGTTATTTACCTGTATTTATGTTTAGGTCGAGACTTTAAAACTGCGTCCCCCTGTGTTGCAAAACGAATATATTTCTCAATGTCTTTGTTTACTTATAAGCAGCAAAATATCTGCATTTGTACACAGCAGACGTAATTCAAAATAAACATACCGTTTTTATTAGTTTCAACAAAATCAGTAATGGTACTCTCGTGTCACTGGATTTTGTGGTTCATCGATCACTTGATTGCCAGGTTTTTTACAGGCTGATGTCGCATTGTATGAGTACTGCTGTGCTGCGTCTGGCAATAAATACTTATTTTTATATGCAAATGGTGGGTTCTACCGGTCGGGCAGGACATGCTTACCGTTTTCGCGCACACCTGGTGTCATCACTGAGCTTCAGTGGTCCATTCATATAATTTCAATCGCTATTTGCCATTTACGCCAAGCGGAATCTGTTTCGACAGAAAATCTCGACAGGTTATTCTCTTGCTTTGACAATCCTAGAATCAGGATATATGCAACAGAAATATAACAGCGTTTATCTGCATTGACTGGTTCTTGTAAACATGTCATTCTCTGTTGCTTAGAACAACTTCTCTTTTTGCACATTTGGTCCTGGAAGCACAGCCTTGTAAATAGTCTATACCATATCCTTGCATCCTTGTACTACCGCCTCCTTGGTGCTAGTAGTTTGGCTTTCATGTATACTGCGTTGGCTTGATCAGTCTTGCCCCACTGCTGATAAAGCACACCTAGGAATAACAAGACACCTCGAAATGAAGGTAAATGACACTGGATGGTATAAAACAATTCAAGAGATGAAGATAAGATACATATCACTATGTTTAGGAAGAGTCAGTTGCAATTCTCCAACGAAGGAGGGGCGGTCGGGTAGCCTAGTGGTTAAAGCGTTCGCTCGTCACGCCGAAGACCCGGGTTCGATTCCCGACATGGGTACAATGTGTGAAGCCCATTTCTGGTGTCCCCCGCCGTGATATTGCTGGAATATTGCTAAAAGCGGCGTAAAACCATACTCAGTCAGTCAGTCCAACGAAGGAAATATTAGGTTAAACGTGCTCTATCCAATATCAGAAAGAACATGGAAGGCATTCGAATTCCAAACTCCTACTTATTAAGTCAACTCAAATTCCAAAAACTTGCCTCCACTGACGTCGTTGTCCTGGATATTTGCAGAAGTTATTTGTGTTGCACTTGATGTTTTGGGGTTGTTTTCAATTTGACTTTGGTTATTAGATTTAAGTACAAGAATAAAACACATTGCCAAGATATTGATGCGAGTGACCTGTTGACGTATGGAAATATATTCCATAATACATTTGAATGTATATTTGTATATAACATTTGTATATGATAACATTTGTATATGATGTATCAAGTATTAATAGCCCTTACGTGGCACACAGAAAAACATGTTCACTTTTGATAGAAAATAACTTCGGAAGAAGTTTTTACCGTACCTAAGTTATTGTAGAGCATGGCGTTTTGCTGGTCTATTTTGATGGCATCTAGCAAGAGTATTTCACTTTGAGAGTATTGATGCATCTGTATGTAGATGTTGGCTAGAATCAGCATCAGTGTCGAGTCATTCTTCACCACCTCGAGAGCCTGTTGGCCAGCTGTGATAGCTTCGTTCTGCCTCCCTGAGATTACACAAACGCACAACTTTAATACGAAGATGGTTTTAATCCATCACAAACGTTCAAATCGTGTTTCAAAAAGTGTTCCAAAACGTTATAGACGAATGTGTGGCGATTGTCTTAAGACCATCATATATAATGGGATTATATAGAAGCGTCGGTTAATTTAAGTGCTAAGTTTACATTTCTGTCATATAATGTTCAGCATTGAGCCCTGTGGAATCTGTTTCGGCAGATAAACGAGACAGCTTGTTCTGTGGCGTTGACGTTTCATGTGTGCTTTGATTGTGCTGGATTGTGTCTGATTGTATCTGATTGTGCTGGATTGTGTCTGATTGTGCTGGATTGTGTCTGATTGTACTGGATTGTGTCTGTGCTGGATTGTGCTGGATTGCGTCTGATTGTGTCTGATTTTATCTGATTGTGCTGGATTGTGTCTGATTGTGCTGGATTGTGTCTGATTGTGCTGGATTGTGTCTGAATGTGTCTGATTGTGCTGGATTGTGTCTGATTGTGCTGGATTGTATCTGATTGTGCTGGATTGTGTCTGATTGTGTCTGATTGTACTGGATTGTGTCTGTGCTGGATTTTGCTGGATTGTGTCTGATTTTATCTGATTGTGCTGGATTGTGTCTGATTGTGCTGGATTGTGTCTGAATGTGTCTGCTTGTGCTGGATTGTGTCTGATTGTGCTGGATTGTATCTGATTGTGCTGGATTGTGTCTGATTGTGTCTGATATCACGGATATGAGGTTAAAGATAAGAATTTTCCAAAGCATGCACTAAAACTGACGTCAATAGCACAGTGTCAGGGTTGATCATAATCAATGACACTGTAGTTGTCCTGTTCACTCTAAGGAGCCGACGGCAGTGTTTACATCATTACATCATTACAACTATTGACGCCAAACTCTCTTATTCATGCCCTTAATGGCGCATGTTCCAGGGTCATTTGACATGTCTCTCGTCCGTGTATCGTGTATCGAACAAATGTCTTATACAATATTCACGTTTTTACTATCTAATGAAGGACAAAACTTCTGTATCTCGACATGACTTACCAAGTTGATATAAAAGAAGTACTGTGTTCCTCCAGGCGTTGGCGAACGTTGGTGTATACCCTACAACTGTCCTCCACGCACCGAGGGCCTCCTCGTGTCGGCCTGTGTCCCGGTACTACACAAAGAATGATGTGCAACAGTAGAAAACATTTGAACGTCAACAAAACTGCTGTTGGAATTTTTACTTGACTGTTAATTTTTTTTTTTTTTTTTTTTTAATTTATTTATTTTAGGCTGGTCGGGTAAGCTAGTGGTTAACGCCTTCGCTCGTCACGCCCAAGACATGGGTACAATGTGTGAAGCCCATTTCTGATATCCCCCGCCGTCATATTGCTGGAATAGTGCTAAAAGCGGCGTAAAACTATCCTCAGTCACACACTATTTTTTTTTAAATAACCGTCTTTAGAACCCACCATTTGGACATTATGTAAAACATGCAACAAAAACAACATCCTGCATACATATATTTGGACTGCACAATTCCAGCAAGTAACATAAAGTGTACAGTAATTACCAAGTTTCCAAGGTTAAGGTGTGCGTTAGAATGCTCATTTTCGAGTCGAACGGCTTCGAGGTAGCTGGCTTCAGCCGACTCATTCTTCTTCAGTGCCGCCTGCACAATACCAAGGTTGGTCCAAGCTGGCGAGAAGTCTGACCTGACAACAGGGACATGCATAATAGTTATATGATTCTTGTCATTTTATTGTTTGTTTTATTTTATTGTCAATATTCCAGTTATATGACGTCGGTCTGTAAGTAATCTAGTGATTGACAACATGAGCATCGATGCACACAATCGGGATCGATGACATGCATCAACCAAGTCAGCGAGCCTGACCACCCGATCCCGTTAGTCGCCTCTTACGACAAGCATAGTCGCCTTGCTTCACCAAAGTGATATCCATAATACGACGACTAAACGGGGGAGGTATTGTTAGTGAGCATTTCAAATCACTATCTCTTTATTCATTGCTTTTGCCATTGCCATTGCTTTTCAAAATTCATTGTCTTCAGGACAGGTACAGCGAAAGTTATTTCGTGTGTACAAACTGAGACAACACGATTTTGTGAATATTTTTAGCGGCATTGAACTCACTCTTGAGGCATGAAACAGTCCAGTACCTGACATTGACAGCTTCCTCCAGCAGCTTCTCTGCATCCGACAGATCCCCTCTCTCCTTAAGGATGATTGCCAGGTTGTTCATCGCAAATGCATAGCCAGGGTGCAGTCTGGGCGGAAAAGTGAGTGAGTGAGTTAGGTTTCACGCCGCTTTATATCACGGCGTATCAGTTAATGTGGGAGGAAAGCCCGAAGTGATGCAGGTCTCAGACGTTTACTATTTCGGTGAAACCCACGAGCACGGGTATGGTGCTGACAAACCTAGAAACATAATCGGGGCGAACCAGGATTCGAACCCACGATCATAGGTTTCTGGCGTGCCCAAAGCGTGCACAGCGAATCGCGGCGCCTCAGACGACTGGGCCACCCATGCGCCACTGGGCGGAATACATTATCGATGTTTGTGATACAAGCATACCCGTCTGTCTCGATGCTAAGTGAGCGTCGGCCACTTTGAGATACCCGGGCAGTTGACTTGAAAGTGAAAAACTCGTCACCTTGAACACTCTACCCTGATGTACTGTTGACACTTTATTGTTCTAGGAGGATCCTTCCATACCAGTATCTTACCCCGCTTAACTCGATGTCGAGCATGTCGATATATCGGATATGACGATGCATTTTACTGACTACAAAGCATCAGAAGAGACAGTAATTTGACCTCAACTGTACACAAACTGTCCGGTTTTTTTAATTTGTGGCGATGATCTCAAAGACTTCTTGATAACATTAAAAGTAACGAAAACAATTTCCATAATGACAAAGTAGACACAAATTATGGACAACAACTTCTTTACTGAGGCCGCCTCCGTGGTCTAGTGGTAGAGCGTCCGCCCGGAGAGCGGAAGGTCCGGGGTTCTAAAAAGACGTTAAAAGATGGTACTTGTTGTTACCCTGTCTGGCGCTCGGCATTAAGGGGCTAAAACAAGGACTGGTCTGCTCGGAGTCAGTATACTGTGTCTGAGTGGGGTATTCATGTTAAACTGCAGGATGGTATCTCAGTGTGCTAACACTATAAATCGGCATCAGTCCGGACTAGTTAGTACAAGCAGCCACACACACACACACACACACGTGCATGCACGTCGCTATATAAGTGCAATAATCTTGGACGCGACGTTAAACCCCATTTCAACTCACCACCTTTACTTCTGTAAAGGCGACGTTTTGGTATAGATCATTATACCGTTGTCAAGCAAGACGTCGCCTTTACAGTATTAATAATGTTGTTATCCATAAATTGTGGCCACTTTGTCACCCGTCAACTTCTAAGTAATGACTTTCAAACAATTAAATTTCCATAATCATAAGAAATCTTTACTAAAAGCAAAGTTCACTGTACGACTCCTCGACTCACATACAGTAAACTACGGTTACAACGAACTCAAAGGGACCACTAATTTTGGTTCGTTATAACCGTAGTTCGTTATAAGCATATAAACAGCATATATACAACAAATGGCCGGGACTAAAAAATAAGTTCGTTATATCGGTCAGTTCGTTATAAGCGTGTTCGTTATAACCGTAGTTTACTGTATATCGCATATCATTATTCTTGTAAATTCGTAACGGTTAAATATATACATACTTGAGAGCATGTCTGTATTTCTCAATAGCATAGTCTGGGTTGTCTTGTTCCTCAAGCTTGGCTATGTTGAAATGAATCTGAAAATATAATAACATATGCATTTATTTATTAAAAGTAGCACAAGTAAGAAAATGAGCAGTCGTATTACCAGGTGCTCGCGGAAAGGTGAGCGTATCCCGAACAACCGGTGGCGCCAGTCACAAACACATGCAAAGGCAAATCATGTGACAGACGTGCGTATGAAACTTCGAACACTATTCACGACATGATCCGTACAACCTTCTCATCTAATAAAATTCTGTATTTATTTTATCGTACAGTGATGACTTGGAATTAAACCACTGCTACGAGCTACCTTTATATCACTTGACCCATCATGTAGCTTGTTTGGACACAAGGTCTCCTTTACTGATATCAGGTGAGGTGAGGTGAAATTAGGTTTAACGACGTGTGTGTGTGTGAAATAGTCCGAAGTAATGCCGATTTATAGTGCTAGCTCACTGAGATACCATGCCGCAGTTTAACATGAATACCCCACTCAGACACAGTATAATGACTCCGAGCAGACCAGTTCTTGTTTTAGTCCCTTAATACCGAATCAAACAGGGTTACAACAAGTGCCATTGTAAAAGGTCTTTTGGATTACGCGGCCAGGGATCGAACCCTGGACCTTTCGCTATCCGAGCGGACGCTCTACTACTAGACCACGGAGGCGGTCTACTGAAATCAGAAGAATCCATGCTAATGGGAGTCTTTCAGTGCTATTTACGGACTGTTTTCAATAATCACAAATGCTCTACTACAACGACAGCTCAACTCACTCCAGCTTGATAACGGTGTAGTGAGTGAGTGAGTTGGGTTTAACGCCGCTTTTTACAGTATTCCAGTCATATCGCGGCGTGTCAGCTTAATGTGGGAGGAAAGCCCGAAGTGATGTAGGTCTCAGACGTTTACGACTTCGGTGAAACCCACGAGCACGGGTATGGTGCTGACAAACCTAGAAACATAATCGGGGCGAACCGGGATTCGAACCCACAATCATAGGTTTCTGGCGTGCCCAAGGGACCCAACTCTGCACAGCGAATCGCGGCGCCTTAGACGACTGGGCCACCCGTGCCCCCGATAACGGTGTAGGAATCTACTTCGAAACGTCGCTGAATGCAATAGACCAGGAGTATCATCCATCAAGTAAATCGTTCCTTGACATTCGGACTCGGATGTACAGGTTGATTCGGATGGTAAAATCCCATACACCCGGAATGTTGAGTGTAAGCAGGTAGATTCAGCAAGATGAGGGTTGGTCTGATCTTGTCGTCAGTGGCTGTAATCAAGTCTTTTTCCATGCAGCGATTTAAGATGCGACTAATGTAAGTCTAAGGTAATTAAAGCGACCAAACCGTTTCGGTATCCAATAGAAATATCTGCAAAAAGCAGAGTCAATTGTGCGATTCCGAGTATATCATGGTCATGTGTTTTATATGAATCACTATCAAATAGTAATGATACTATGTGTTCGTGAAAGGTGAGCGTATCCTGCCCCACCGGTCGCACCCGTCACAAACACATGCGAAGTCAAGTCAATTTTTTACCTGAAAAAACATGGGAACATATGGCAAAGTCAAAATAGGGAATTGCATCGGACATCATTTTTGACACCGATGCGTCAAATTTGGAAATGTCCTCCACATGTCTACCATAGAACATTTTGAAAGATTAACTGAGTCCTTGAATGTTGGAGCCTTGATCAAACAACTTCTGAGCAAGAGTTATATGACGCTCTATGAAATCTTGGTAGAAAGAGCATGCTCGATTATAGCTCAAATGTTGTGAAATGTAAACACCAAAAGCTGGAGCTGCTGGAATATTGCTCGACATGAAGGGAAAGTTTATGTCATCCGTCTTGTGGAGAGTGTTTTGCCACTCTGAATGTAAATAATGGGAGATCGCTTTGTGGGACGAGCCCTGGACTGTGGTAACAGGAGAACAGACAAACACTCATTATGCTGAATCGACCTGATTATACGGAACCGATCTCTGGCACACTTATCAACAACATTTTGAAGTGTCGGACAGATCACAGGAGAGAGTGAGTATAGTTTTACGCCGCTTTTAGCAATATTCCAGCAATATCACGGCGGGGGACACCAGAAATGGGCTTCACACATTGTACCCATGTAGGGAATCGAACCCGGGTCTTCGGCGTGACGAGCGAACGCTTTAACCACTAGGCTACCCGACCGCCCCTGACAGATCACAGGAAAACGCAGTAATAATAATGATGATGATGATGATGATGATAATAATAATAATAATGGATTTGTATAGCGCCTTGTTTCCAACTAGATGCTGCTCAACAAGTGCCAAGACAAACGATACAAATATTGTATGAATATACTTACTTTAGCATTGAGTGGACAAACACTGGCCCCCGATATGTACAGTTCCATTGGTACCCTCCAGTCGCTGCTTCTCTGCAACAAACAAGGAGGTCTTTGACTGGCGTCGAGAATATGGAGGAACACGATGACGTGAAAAACGATAGAAAGCAGCTTCTTTATTGTGTGTAACGACGTTTCAGGGTACAGGCTTCCAGTAGTCATACAGGCCGTAACAAACAATAAAGAGGTCGTTATCCATAAATGTGTCACGTCTTCAAGCACATGAACGCCAATTCAAACTTTCAAATAGTCGAACAACTTCCTACTGAAGAATATTTCCATTGGCGGGATGATTCCAACAGCATTGCATCAGCACAAATGTATAACCAAAATCTTTGGCCGTTTTTGGATTAAAAAACAACCAACGAGTGGGAGTTGCTAATTGTACAATAAAACATAGGATACGACCTCGGCAATGTCGGACAAATCTATTTTATGAACAGTGGGGTAACATTTCGCCTTTCCCGCATATTCTCACGCATATTCTTTTAATTCCCACGTCGATTATCTGTACGCTTTCTCCCAATACCGATTGCCATATCTCGCTCAGTTTTGGATGTGATTGTTTGTTCATTGCCTTTATCTGCCTTGCCTAGCTACATCTATGGCGAACAACCCACTAGACACTTCCCTCTGAAAAATGATGTCGTCCAATTTACGTCATCATCAAGTTGCGATTTCCAGAAATGACGTCATGACAGAACAATGTTTTATCGTGAAATAAAGCACACTTCGTTCTTCATTGTTCTTTGTGATTTATCGCGTAGCTATCTTATTTGAGTATTCAGTGCTCAACAGAAATCTCGCATTCTCGCGATCTCGACCTTTGGAAACCAGGTAAATATACCCAAAACACGAGAATGCGAGATCGCGAGAACGCGAGAATGTCCCTTACAGTATTCGATAGGAATTCCATTTTAGCACTGCACAATGACAAACGTATCACACAATTTCAAGATGGCCACAGATGTGAACCTAACGTGAACTAAATTGTACTTGCTCATGTCTTCAAAAAAAAGTGTATATCTTATTTCTGGCCAAATCTCGCGTTCTCGCGATCTCGCATTCTCGTGTTTTGGGCATATTTACCTCGTTTCCAAAGGTCGAGATCGCGAGAATGCGAGATCGCGAGAATGTCCCTTACAGTATTCCATAAATTCCTCCAGTGTTGAGCAGATCCCGTTGGACTGAGTAGAGTGGGGATTACATAATGTTCATTATGGCCAAATATTTGCTGTATCCAAAATTGCTATCTCCGGTACATGTATACGTACATCATTCATAACTGTGTACAGTAAACTACGTTTATACCGAACACGCTTATAACGAACTGACTGATATAACGAACTTACTTTTTTGTCCCGGACATTTGTTGTATATATGCTGTATATATGCTTATAACGAACTACGGTTATAACGAACTAAAATAAATGGTCCCTTTGAGTTCGTTATAGCCGTAGTTTACTGTTTACAGCGGCTATTGGCAAATGAAGATTGGAATACCTGAATTGATCGTAGAACAAACGCTACTATGACAACTGTGAATCCAGCAGAAACCATCTGTAAAATGGAAATACCACATATTCATAAGCATGAAGGTGATATCGGGTGAAATGGGGTTTAACGTCGCGTTCAAGATTATTACACTTATATGTATATGTGTGTGTGTGGCTGCTTGTACTAGTCCGGACTAATGCCGGTTTTAGGATACTAGCCCTCAGAGATACCATGCATATCCCACACAATATACGGACCAGCCCTTGCTTCATCACCTTTATTGCCGAGCGCAAGGCATCGTTTAACATCTTGTGGGATGACGCGGCCGGGGATCGAACCACCTACCTTCCGCTCCAGGCGGAAGCTCTATCCACTAGGCCACGGAGGTGGTCCATGAGCATCAAGCAATAATAGTGAGTGAGTGAGTTGGTTTAACGCCGCTTTTATCAGTATTCCAGTTATATCACGGCGTGTCAGCTTAATGTGGGAGGAAAGCCCGAAGTGATGCAGGTCTCAGATATTTACCACTTTGGTGAAACCCATGAGCACGGGTATGGTGCTGACAAACCTAGAAACATAATCGGGGTGAACCGGGATTCGAACCCACAATCATAGGTGTTTGGCGTGTCCAGGGGACGCAACTCTGCACAGCGAATCGCAGCGCCTTAGACGACTGCCCCCTCAAGCAATACTAACACAGAACAAATGCAAATTCCTTCTTCAACTGGATGTAACTTTCTACCCAGTTTTCAACACACAAACCTCCATGTGTGAGACTGACATAATCTACCCGCAGATGATATCTATTTTGTTACGCACCACCCAGATATGTGCGTGGGTCATGTACCAGGAAGTAAACACGGACTAATGAGGATGTGGTTATTACAATTCAGGACCTGGTTCATTATGTTCCATCCTGACCTGACTGCGTGGAGCGTTCCTCAAAGTGTAAATTACTGGTTTACCGGGCCGGTCAGGCCTCACGATATAACACCGTTTTGGTTGCAATCGCGCACGATACGCACTAAAATTTAACCTTGAGTTGTTTCAGCTCAGCGCCAATATTAACTTCCCCAACCCGCAAAACGTCCCATTCCACACATGCCATTTCGCTCACTTCACTTGCTTCAAGTTTACATGCTCTAAAGACCCGTGTAGATCCGGGTTATAATAGGCCTCCAGCAACCCATGCTTGCCGTAAAAGGCGACTATGCTTGTCGTAAGAGGCGACTAACGGGATCGGGTGGTGAGACTCGCTGACTTGGTTGATGCATGTCATGGTATCCCAATTTGGTGGATCAATCCTCATAATGTCAATCCTTGATTGTCTGGTCCAGATGATTTTCCGATCGCCGTCATATAGCTGGGATATTATTGGCGTTAAACAACAAACAAACAAAACATCTTCTATATGCTATGACATTGTTACCTTTTTTGCAGTGGAATGTAGATGGAATTGAAGACAAATCTGCCTTGCCCCGAGCACCACCAACATACAGAAGCCAGCACAGGACAGGTACAGGATCCTCTCTGCGATCACGAAGCCCACACGGAAAAACAGGTTGCTGGCGGGCAGGAATGGAATACCCAACACTGCCAGAGAAGTTATCAGGATCCTGCAAGGTTGACCAAAGTTAGATAGTGTTACCTAGGTAACCTTTTGTTTAGATGCCAATACTTGTTTCAGGCTTACGCATGTTTTGGTATTTGCTGCCTTGGCAACATAAAACCCATAATAAAGAGTGTAGTTTATATATACACGTTAAATCAAACTCTGGACTTTTAATTGATAATAAGAAAAAGGACTATTTACATTACCCTAGATTTCTATGCGATGGCAATGTAACTTATATCTGTACCTGTGATTCCTGGTAAGGTCTCCACGACAGGAGTGGAAGCCTAAACCACCAAGCCCAGTCCAGAGAGCTATGGCTGCCAGTATTCTGGGATCAGCCAATGAGGTGATGACAGGTATACAGCCCATCGACCAATCAAAACACAGCCACCATGGATTCAACAGCAGCCAAGTGTTCATTGCATAGAGGTAGTTGTAGTTCAACATCTGAAAGAAGTTGCGTGGGGATATTATAGCAGCGGTATTCAGAAGCTGTATTTCCATTCCAAGAGATCTATTGGGATATTTCAGTGAGGAAGGATAGGTCTTCAGCTACCCATGCTTGCCGTAAAAGGCGACTATGCTTGTCGTAAGAGGCGACTAACGGGATCGGGTGGTCAGACTCGCTGCCTTGGTTGATGCATGTCATTGTATCCCAATTGCGTTGATCGATGCTCATGATGTCAATCACTGAATTGTCTGGTCCAGACTCGATTATTGGAATATTGGTGAGTGCGGCGTTGAACAACAAACAAACAAACAAATCAAAGAGGAAGCTTTGTTCTGTGGGTGTATGTATTATCTTTAGACGAGATCTATGCCATGGCAGTGTCTCACAACTTAACCTTAATAAACCACTAACCCCCCTAAATAAACTACTGTTTGCAAACAAAACTCGCCCTATAAAATCTACTGTTAACAAACGAAACTCACCCTATAAAAACTACTGTTAACAAACGAAACTCACCCTATAAAAACTACTGGTAACAAACGAAACTCACCCTATAAAAACTACTGTTAACAAACGAAACTCACCCTATAAAAACTACTGTTAACAAACGAATGTGGATTTTCATGTTGACGAAATGAAGGGGGTGTGGACCCCATTATCCAAAGGCGTGTGATGAGGAGAGACGCACCAGTTACAAACAAGATGAGATGGCGGGTGATGAGGCCTTTTGCCCAGTGAGGTATCTCTTGCTGCAACAAACAACAACAAGGAGTGATGGCAATATGCATGCCTCTGTCTTTGATGGAGTTACCACTGACACTGACACCTCATCTTAGAGGGATTAAGTTACAGGACCTGATGCTCACTACCAGACGAGGTCAAGATGTTATAATTGGTAACACAATTATAAATGAGACATGTTCTATGTGTAAATATGAGATAGCTACGCGATAACTCACAAAGAACAATCCAGAACGAAGCGTGGTTTATATCACGAGAAAACATTTTTTCTATCATGACGTCGTTATTTGAGATTCGAACATGCGCTCGTAACTTGATGACGTCATATGTTTGACGATGATATTTTTGAGAGGGGGGTGTCTAGTGAGGTGTCCCCCATAGATGTACCAGGGCAAGGCAGATAAACGCGATGGCCGATCGATCGCATCCAAAAGCGGGAGAGATATGACAATCGGTATTGGGAGAAAAGGTACAGGTAATCGACATGAGGATTGCCAGAATATGCGGGGAATACCACCTGTGCATAAAATGGACTTGTCCGACATTGCCGAGATCGGATTCTATTGAAGGAGTCATCATTATTAGAATACGGGTAAACATTTTTAAAGCTTGAACTTCCTTGAAGAGGCCGTACAAAATGTTGATATCTTATATATAAGTAAATAAGAAACTCCCAGTCGTCGTTTATTTATTAATTAGGGCTGTGATTAACATTTTGAGAACTTAGATGTAGAACTTAAAACATAGATGATACTTCATATTCGGAATTAACATAAATTATGTATCGTCGACACAACATCGGCCAACACGTCTCCTCCATTCTATTTCTTGTAAGACTTGCAGGAGATACAGCAGTGTCTATTATTATCGATATTAAACGTGGAAAAATAACACGTAATCAAACCTTGGAATTACCTAACATACTTATGCGGACATTCTCTGTTTCCTGTTGAAGAGGGCATCTATCAACTCTTTTGAACATATATGAAGTGTCTTACCTTATCGATTAATCTACAATGACCATTTTCTGTACTGTTCTTTAGTTTCTTGAACCCACGCCACCGTAGAGGATGAAGCCTACACACAATGACGATGTCAAAGACGCTGCAAATACCCTACAAAATAATGAAGATAATTTATTGGTGTGACATTTCCATAAGTTTTAAATAAACGGAGCTCGATTTCTTTAAGATCGAAATCAAAACTTAGAAAAAACCCATCCAAATCAATAATGTATCTGACACGTCCAATTCAAATTTGTTTTATTTTTACAAAATCTTGTATCAGATCTATCAAATGTATGATGAGTTTACTTTAGGAAAAAGGTTAGCAAATATATTTTGATTTTAAATGCAGAGTAGATTTACGGTTCTAAGTGTATCGTGAGCATGTGTTTATGAATCATTTAGCTATTGCAGTGTCTGTACTTAGCCATCATGATTCAAACACTACTGACTTACGATGTCCCGTTCCAGACTCGATTATTTACACAACGTCGTCTCATACCTGGAATATCGCTGAGTGTGGCGTTAAACACCAAACAAACAAAACACTATGACAGTGATGCCCTGCTCCTTACAGAAGGTGGACACCACACACAGACACATACTGGCCAGTAGAGACACCAGGGAGAAGGACTCGGGACGGTAACTGACCAGGGATGAAACACTGAATACACTTACTATGACAGTGATGCCCTGCTCCTTACAGAAGGTGGACACCACACACAGACACATACTGGCCAGTACAGACACCAGGGAGAAGGACTCGGGGCGGTAACTGACCAGGGATGAAACACTGAATACACTTACTATGACAGTGATGCCCTGCTCCTTACAGAAGGTGGACACCACACACAGACACATACTGGCCAGTAGAGACACCAGGGAGAAGGACTCGGGACGGTAACTGACCAGGGATGAAACACTGAATACACTTACTATGACAGTGATGCCCTGTTCCTTACAGAAGGTGGACACCACACACAGACACATACTGGCCAGTAGAGACACCAGGGAGAAGGACTCGGGACGGTAACTGACCAGGGATGAAACACTGAATACACTTACTATGACAGTGATGCCCTGCTCCTTACAGAAGGTGGACACGACACACAGACACATACTGGCCAGTAGAGACACCAGGGAGAAGGACTCGGGACGGTAACTGACCAGGGATGAAACACTGAATACACCTACTATGACAGTGATGCCCTGTTCCTTACAGAAGGTGGACACGACACACAGACACATACTGGCCAGTAGAGACACCAGGGAGAAGGACTCGGGACGGTAACTGACCAGGGATGAAACACTGACTACACTTACTATGACAGTGATGCCCTGTTCCTTACAGAAGGTGGACACGACACACAGACACATACTGGCCAGTAGAGACACTAGGGAGAAGGACTCGGGACGGTAACTGACCAGGGATGAAACTCTGAATCTACTTACTATGACAGTGATGCCCTGCTCCTTACAGAAGGTGGACACGACACACAGACACATACTGGCGAGCAGAGACACCAGGGAGAATGACTCGGGCCGGTAACTGACCAGGCACTGGGCTGCAATCATCATATATATATATGGTGATTATTGTAAAATACAATAAAATTATTTAATTAAAACTTAAAAGCAAAATAAACTTCCGTAGCAGCTAATGTCATACTAATAGCAACTATTCCCTAGAACACGTCAACTAAACAGTTTAACAAATTATAACAAATTAATAGTGAAATTATGTAAGAAATATATCCTAGTTTATTTCAATTTAAACGGCAATGCCATGGCATCTGTTTTAGTGTCCATTAATTTAACAGTCAAGGGGAGATAACCCAGACTGTCAATTGTTGATTATGCTGTAAGCGGTATTTGTTTTTTATTGTTGCAAGGGACACGTCAGAGGCACCAAACGTAACGTGTAAACTACATGTTTTTCAGGAATTTGGTGAATGTTCTCAGTCTGTTTGTGTACCCACCCTCCTACCTGGAGGTTTTATGTTTCGACTAAACATTTGTCATTATTAAATGACCTTTGCCCCAAAGAAGAATCGTTTGTTTTCCTTTTCCAGCCCATATGGCACTGGCGCTGGATTTTTGTTGGTTGTCATTTAAGACAATTACATTGTCCGTGTACTACTAGCCTAACAACCAAGGATCGGATGATGGAGTTTAAAACTGATTCAATTGTTGACATTATGTAAAAGAACTTTCACGCGTGTAAAACGCCACATCAATTTATTTCTCATTTGTGTGTGATAGTGTTTCTAAAAGAACGAATTCTAAATGCCCAGGACATAGTTTGTAGAATTCATACCACCTCATACCTATTCCGAATTCAAGACCGCCACCGTGGTCTTGTGGTAGAGCGTCCGGTCGGAGTGCGGAAGGTCCGGGGCTCAATCCCCGGCCGCGTCATACCAAAAGACGTTAAAAAATGGTACTTGTTGTTATCCTGTCTGGCGCTCGGCATTAAAGGGCTAAAAACAAGGACCGCTCGGCTCGGAGTCAGTATACTGTGTCTGATTGGGGTATCCATGTTAAACTGCGGCATAATAGCTCAGTGTGCTAGCAGTCCGTACTAGTACAAGCAGCCACACACATACACGCACACACACACACACTAACACACACACACACACACACACACTAACACACACACTAACACACACACTAACACTAACAAACACACACACACACTAACACACTAACACACACAGACACACACACACACTAACACACTAACACACTAACACACTAACAGACACAGACACAGACACACACACACACACACACACACATACGTGCATGCACGTCGCTATATAAGCGCAATAATCTTGGACGCGACGTTAAACCCAATTTCACCTCACCTCACCGAATTCAAACAATCACGATTGCCATTAATAATTATTGTTATTATTCATTATCGGGAAAATAAATTTCTGTCTGGAACAACGTCTAAATCCTTTACCTCCCATCGTGCTTCTTAGTAAATAGAATCAACTGGAACATCTTATCCTGTTCAATTTTGTCTTTAGTATACAAATGGCCCTTGCAGATTGAAGGCTAATGTGCAACAGCCCAGATCCAAAGTCATGTCTGTTAAAAGGTCAAGGTAAATGTAGATATCAGACATCACGATAAGTATGTGTCACCCTAAATATTAAAACTGTAAGTATGGCTGGTTTGTAGATGTTCTCTGTTCACATAGATTCTGTGGGTGTCTATATAACCGCACCTACCCGCTTATAGTTATCTGTTTAACTAATGGAGCGGACGGGTAGCCTAGTAGGTAAAGCGTTAGCTCGTCACGCCGAAGACCCGGGTTCGATTCCCGACATGGGTACAATGTGTGAAGCCCATTTCTAGTGTCCCCCGCCGTGATATTCCTGAAATATTGCCAAAAGCGGCGTAAAACCAAAACCCACTCTCTCACTGTTAAACTAATATTACAAGGCACCCATGTCGTATACAACACACTGAAGTTGGTGTCAAGGTTCACCGTGAAATCACATTCCGACACAAGACTTACGTGAGAGGCAGGCCCTGGCATACAACAAGAACGAAAGGAGGAAGGTCAAGGCACACAGCAGATCAGCTCGACCCGCGAGACCTGCTACCTGTAACACAACATCACAACACACATACACCGTATGCATGGAACACACCCGTGGTATAAAGCATACAGAGATAAACTGATGTTATGTTACTCATGTACACGCAATCTCGTTATGGAAATATTTAACTTAAAAACGCAAATACATAACTTACATTTCGAAATTCTATAACACTGAATGAAGGGTCCTATAAAGCATAACCATGCAATCATTGTGAGGTTCATATAATGTTTTGAACTAATAAACAAACATGCTTTATACAACTTACTCATAAAGAATCACAAATGTTAAAAGTCTGAATATGAGTCAAAACCCAGTATTCCATCGAAATGTTGACAGGATGGTTTTTTCAAATAGGTTGTGACGCTCCATCAAATAAGTATCAAGAATTCAGTCACACCTCTTAAATAAACTGGTATATATAATATTATAGTGAAGACATCGATGTAATTATGCTTGTGAAATCTAAAAATAAAAGAAACAAAAACAGTTTGAACTCACACTCTCAGTGTGAATGGGATGCACAGCAAACAACACAGCACACAGGAGAGCAGCTCGGGGCGAGGCAAACACCGGCCTGGCAGATTCCTGGTCCACCTGGTAACCAGACATGAGGACAGAGAAGACTGCCATGAAGATGACCGACACCAAGCCGTGCAGGACGATGTTCACAACGTGGAAGCCCTGAGGATGAAGGCCACCTGCCCATGCATAGTTCCACCTGGAATGTAAGTATGGATGTTAACTTACCATGCCGCACCAAACCCTTGCACTTTGGGTCCGACAGATGGTCTAAGATCTGCAATACTTCGGGCGTCCCTCCCAGAGTAACTTACACTTGAGATGTGACTGAATTACTGCTCCAAGTGCGGTTAACAAATTCACTCAGACGCACAATGTATCACCACCACCATCCAAACAGAAAAAGGTCCCCCCCTTCACCACCCTTCACAAATTGATGTCAGAGGGACAAATATACTCTCATAACATCCATAGTGGAACATAGTGATGTCTGATCAAAGCAAAATCATGGGACGTATTGCTGTCTGATCAAAGCAATATCATGGGACGTATTGCTGTGTGATCAAAGCAAAATCAGGGGACGTAGTGCTGTGTGATCAAAGCAAAATCATGGGACGTATCGCTGTCTGATCAAAGCAAAATCATGGGACGTATTGCTGTGTGATCAAAGCAAAATCATGGGACGTATCGCTGTCTGATCAAAGCAAAACGTGGGACGTATTGCTGTGTGATGAAAACAAATACATGGAACGTAGTACTGTTTGATCAAAACAACATCATGGAACGTATTGCTGTGTGATCAAAAGAACGATAGGAACGCATTGCTGTGTGATCAAAGCAAAACATGGGACGTATTACAGTGTGATCAAAATAACATCATGGAACGTATTACTGTGTGATCAAAATAACATCATGGAACGTGTTGCTGGGTGATCAAAACAACGACATGGAACGTATTAATGTCTGATCAAAATAACATCATGGAATGTGTTGCTGGGCGATCAAAACAACGACATGGAACGTATTAATGTCTGATCAAAACAACGACGTGGAACGTATTGCTGTGTGATCAAAACAACATCATGGAACGTATTACAAAGATCAAAATGACAATATGAAACTTTATGACACCGCAGCTTAAATAGTGTCACTGAATAATCAAAGTCACAACATGAACAGTCTGTCCAATGATATAAAACAGCACAGGGACTGATGAACGTGAACCCATTATTACTCATTGCTAGGGCACATGGCTTAGATTCATTGAGTGAGTGAGTTGGGTTTAACGCCGCTTTTAACAGTATTCCAGTTATATCACGGCGTGTCAGCTTAATGTGAGAGGTAAGCCCGAAGTGATGCAGGTCTCAGACGTTTATCACTCGGTGAAACCCACGAGCACGGGTATGGTGCTGACAAACCTAGAAACATAATCGGGGCTAACCGGGATTCGAACCCACAATCATAGGTTTCTGGCGTGCCCAAGGGACGCAACTCTGCACAGCGGCGCCCTAGACGACTGGGCCACCTGTGCCCCAGATGAATTGAGTGTCGGGTCCTGGCACTCAAACTACTTACAATCGGAATCGAGAATATTAATAATGATCAACTTTCTCACCTGTACGTCATCACGGTTAGGGGCCTGAAAGATTTGTGGCTTTTGTTGTTCATCGTCTTTCCCCAAAAGTCATGAGCAAAGAGGGTGGCGAGTGGGTTTTCTGGACGCAAGTCTTTGTTGGAGGTAATTGCCGAAATATCATCGTAAACAAAATCTCCTTCGAGGCTGTTCGCGAAACACAGTACCGCCAGACAGAAGACGATGACAGATGCCACAGAGAAGCTGAGTTTGGGTACAGGCAGCACATCATCCCATTGTGACTGCTGGTAGCTGCTTACATGGCCGTTGGTCTTGGAGGATCCGAAGGTCGATCTACTGTCGGTCCCCATCACAAGTTTGTTATTCTACAGATAAAATCATATCATCTGTATGTAATTAAGCACACATAACCATCAAATGACACGTAAAGGCTAAATATTAAAAGTACAAATAACAAGGGCCTATATATTCATATAAATATATGTCTGTGAATTGTTCTATTGCTTTCATTCTGGGTTATGCGAGTGCGTAACCTTATCCAGCAGCTACGGGGATCTATAGACATATCGGGTTTCTCGAATTCAGCCAATCACTGTCACGTGAGAAATTGATTTTGTAAGTCTTTATACATGAACTTACACACGCGTATATGTTTCTATCTATATTAGGTAGATGAAATATACAGATGAACTTGTCCTGATTACCGTGTCAATACTGTCCGATTCTTGCACAGATCATATGCATACAGCCCGTTTTGCCGTTACTCCTCAGAAGTACATGTTTGATTCGGACAGCAGATTGCAACGCCAATTGACCATCCAACCAGTAGCCGCTGCATGAATTGTCTATGGATTTACGAGGTAACACATGCGTCAAATCGACTCGAAATTCGATTTGGTTGTGAAATCTGTACTCAACGCCATCGCTACATGTTGTGGCTCTGGTGACTATTTAGCGGCTAAATATTATCATTCTAACTAAATTGAATGATATGTATCAGCAAACATGTGTATCTACAATAGAAAACTCTTCCAAAGGAATTACTTAGAACATTGTTAAAAAACTAAATATTCATTTCGAATCGTTCCCAAGTATTCTGCAAGAGAATAACTGGAGAATTTTGCTTAAATTTAGAGCCTCAAATCATTATCTTCCAACTGAGACAGGTAGATGGAAATAAATCCCATTAATTGAAAGAAAGTGTAATTTATGTAAAGAGATGTCGGTGATGAATTTCATTATCTCTTTGTTTGTCCCTACTTTTAAACTGATAAGAAAAAGCTTATTCGTAAACATTTTTACATAAAACCAAACATATATAAAATGGATATTCTATTTATTGATCATAAAGTAGGAACATTAAGGATACTCTCTATTTTCTGTAAGATTATTATGTCTGCCTTAAGAAAGCAAGTATGTTTATTTCATGTTAGTAGCTTACAATCCTCACTGTTTAACTTGTTCCTCATCTTTTCTCTCCTTCTTTCTTTATTTAATGTGTGTTACAAACCAAATTTCAACATCACAGCTTATACTGTATATACCATGTACACTTTTAATATTGTATATATACTGTAACTCTTCTGCTGCAGTTTGCAGCCTGAGAGTAATAAAGTTCAGTTCTCTAAAATTTGAGTGAGTGAGTGAGTTTGGTTTAACGCCGATTTTTACAGTATTCCAGTTATATCGCGGCGTGTCAGCTTAATGTTGGAGGAAAGCTCGAAGTGATGCAGGTCTCAGACGTTTATCACTTCGGTGAAACCCACGAGCACGGGTATGGTGCTGACAAACCTAGAATCATAATTTGGGCGAACCGGGATTCGAACCCACAATCATAGGTTTCTGGCATGCCCAAGGGACGGAACTCTGCACAGCGAATCGCGGCGCCTTAGACGATTGGTATGTTGTGACTAAGAACTACTTAATAATTAATAACTGAGGTCAATATCAGTTTCTTTGGTCCATAAAACATAAATTGCCCGAATTGTGGTCCATAATTGTTTTTTTACATACATGTAATATAGAAAAAACAAAATATTTCAGTTTGAGTTTTTAAGAACTAATGCTGGCTCACAACAAGCTTTGCGTTACGCTCTCGCTGATTGGCTGAAGATATTTTTCTCCTATGAGGCCATTGGCTTCTTCACACAGGGCACTACCTCTTTTGATCTCTGTACGACAGGGTGGGTCTCAGGGCATTACCGTATATTTTAGAAAGGTATGTGGCCCTTTCTCAATCAATGAAAATACAGATATAATGTGTAAATGCAATGACAGAGTCATTCCTAAGATTGTAAAGGCATGGCATGCTTACTTACTACTTAGAGAGAGAGAGAGAGAGAGAGAGAGAGCGAGAAATGGGCTTCACACATAGTACCCATGTCGGGAATCGAACCCGGGTTTTCGGCGTGACGAGCGAACGCTTTAACCACCAGGCTACCAGACCGCCCCCTATGTTGATTTATGATCTACAAGCTTGTGATCTTCGTGTGGATACAGTGACAACTGCAGCAGAGCACAACAGCAAGCTGGAATCACGCTTCAGTGTCACAGTGACTCTATTGATTCCTTTGCCGGTGAACGTTCACGTTACACAGAACAGTCCTCTCAGTCCTTGCCGGCGACAGATGGAGTAAGTGTTAGGGCTATAATACATGCCGATAGTTTATGATTTGCACAAATAAATAGGGTATAAAAAATTATCTGGAACATTCTGGTAGGCGAGACAAATATCGATGTACATGTACACATAAATTTATAACACAAGAGAGGATAAAATAAGTATGGTATAAAAGGTGGTCCTGAAAATTCTGGTAGGCGAGACCAATACCGATGTACACGTGTATATATATATACATTTATATATAAATTATATATATATATATATATAGAGAGAGAGAGAGAGAGAGAGAGAGAGAGAGAGAGAGAGAGAAGGATAAAATGAATGGTATAAAGATATGGTTTAAAAAATTGTCCAGTGCGAAAATTACCGATGTACACGTATATATAAATTTATAGTGTGAGTGAGTGAGTTCGGTTTAACGCTGCTTTTAACAGTATTACAGTTATATCGCGGCGTGTAAGCTTAATGTTGGAGGAAAGCCCGAAGTGATGCAGGTCTCAGACGTTTACCACTTCGGTGAAACCCACGTATGGTGCTAACAAAAAAAGAAACATGATCGGGGCGAACCGGGATTCAAACCCACAATCATAGGTTTCTGGCGTGCCCAAGGGACGCAACTCTACACAGCGAATCGCGGCACCTTAGACGACTGGGCCACCCGTGCCCCCTATACATTTATTACGCAGAGAGGATGTAATGGTGTTTGTGTGTGTTTACGTGGTATACAGTGTATGTGAGGCACACAAACCCTCGGGGGTATGGCGTTCAGTTCCCTGTCCTTAGTTGTTAGCCCATACGAGCGGGAATTCTCTAATTGTTGGTTCTTATCCCAGAATTGAGAACGATTGACCTGCGTTACTGCAAGCTTTACTCATACATTTAGCTGACAAGCCTTGGTATATTAACTGAAGTAATGTTCAAAGCGAACAAATCAACTCACTCATTCACTCACATGCCCTTACACTTTACTGTTCTGAACTGTTGCTGGTTTAGCCTTTTCAGTGTAGTGTCTCCGCCCAGTCCGAGGTGTATTTGATAAATGATCACTTTTTCATACGTTTTTTAAGCCTATCAATGTTTGTTTATTTGTTGTTTAACGCTGCACTCAGCAATATTCCAGCTATATGACGGCGGTCTGTAAATAGTCGAGTCTGGACCAGACAATCCAGTGATTGACATCATGAGCATCTATCCACGCAATTGCGATACGATGACATGCTTCAACCAAGTCAGCGAGCCTGACCACCCGATCCCGTTAGTCGCCTCTTACGACAAGCATAGTCGATTTTTACAGCAAGCATGGGTTGCTGAAGACCTATTCTACCCCGGATCTTCACGGGTAACTGATCAACTAGAAGTGTAGAACTGTTTGTCTTGTGTTAGTTGGCATCGTGTGTGTTGTGCATACATTAAGTGATGGAAGGAGGAATCTCTGGTTCTCCTCGACTGAATCGTATTTCCCTTTCTATATTAACGAAGTCGGTTATGAGCCATTAACCTGTATTTGGATTTTGTAGACTACATACGCTGTTTTTTCATTTTCAATTGTATTTCATTTATACAACAGTGTTTCAGATGGATGATGGGGGGGGTGGGGGGGGGGGGGGGGGGGTGAGTGAGTTGGGTTTAACTCCTCTTTGAACAGTGTTCCTGTTACATCCTGGCGTCACCTTAATGTGGGTCGCTATGTGGCTGAAATAATGCCGATGCGACGTTAAATTTTAACTCACTTTCCTTAATGTCGGAGGTCATGAGTGTATACAATGCAACGTGAAACCCAAGACAACGGTAATGGTGATGACAGAACAATGATTAAAACAACTAATATTAGATTGGATCCAGATATAGCTGATGTTTCAACCCTGCAAGGCCGATGTCTTAGAAAAATTTGCAACTCATGCCCCGACTGAAAGAAACTAAGACATGTGCATATATGATAGCAACATGCTTAAAGGAGGACTATGCAAGGCCAACTCGGCAGCCCAAGAAAATTGGGTTCATTTATGCCGTGGAGCTAAAGCAACATTCGCCAATTCAATGACATTCAATCATTTTTGTAATAGTGATAATAAAGCGACAAACTCTTTCCATGTCCAATAGAAAGCCCTGCAAAAAGGGAGTCGATTGTACAATTCCCACTATATCACGAGCAGGTCACTAAATCACTATCAAATAGTAATGATACCAGGTGTTCGCGAAAAGGTGAGCGTATCCCGCCCACCGGTCGCATTCGTCACAAACACATGCAAAGGCAAGTCAATTGTTCATCTGAAAACATAGGAACATATGGTAAAGTCAAAATAGGGAATTGCATCGGACATAATTTTTGTCACTGATGCGTCAAATTTGGAAATGTCCTCCACATGTCTACCATAAAACGTTTTGAAAGCTTTACCGAGGCCTTGAATGTTGTGACCATGATCAAACAACTTCTGAGCGAGAATCGTATGACGTTTTTTGAAATCTTGGAAGAGAGAGCATGCTCGATTGTATCTCAAAAGTGTCGAAATGTAAACACCAAAAGCTGGAGCTGCTGGAATATTGGTCGACATGAAGGGAAAGTAGACACTTGGAAAGTTGAAGTCATCCCTCTTGTCGCAATAACAATGAAATCTATAGCAATAATCGTGTCAGTGCACATGTCATTTGGGCGAGTGTTTTATTAGTGTTACACTGGAGAATCTAGTGGTGAAAGTGGATGAACTGTGTTTGACGCCGCTTTGAAGAAGTATTCAGGTAGAGTAGGGTGTATCACTCAAAGTAACTAAGGTTGAAAAAACACATAAAAATATGTACATCGAAATGATCAGCAGCTGAAGGGTCATCATTCGGATGTTCTTTCTGTTCAAACGTTCCTTCAACACTTCAATAGAAATTCATTGTTTTAACTATTTAAATATGTTTCATCCAAAGTATATATTGGAAGATAGCGACAGGAAAATGCAGTTTCCACTGTACAGTTGGGGCGAGTGGATAGATAGTTGCGTGGCTAACATGTCGATAGTGTCTATTAATCTGCAAAAAAATAATGATAAAAAATGTTGCGTGGCTTAAACAATATAGAGTATTTTCAAAAAAGAAAACAAGATTCGTCAACAGGCAAAATGCATACTTTTTAATACGAGTCCGACACAATATATATACAACAGTTGTTTAGTCGAATACAATGGCAGTGCGATGATCCGATCACTGATCGTGGCTTCGAATGCCATATTCGCCCGGATCTTGATCACTGGCAGCGTCTTGATATAGCTTGCATTTTACTGATCATGCATACAGTGTTATAAAGTCACTCACGCAGCATCTCTCTCAATAAAGACATTACTGAGATTGACATTTGTAAAGGTGACTGACAAGCAATCTCATTAAAATCAGATCTTAGTTCTCGTTGCCGCTGAACAAAGATCTGAGGACATCTCATTACGGGTCACGTCAGACCGACCTTGCGCGAACTTTGACCGACCAATGGAATGACCAATCAGAAGACAGTTTTCTCGTGCTTTACGGCACTAATTTCAAATTGGCGACTTCGCTTCGAAACATATTTTGACAAATTCCGATTAAAAATTTGAAACCTGAACAAAAAACATTCTGGAATGGCTAATAGATGGTCTAGATTGTAAGGAATCAGTCGTTAAACCCGTAACAATCGTTCGGTATACCCCATGTTAAAGTTTTCGAGGTTGTATGATTAGAAACCACATTCCCACTGTCACTTTCATAATCTGGTAAGCGACGCACTGATTGGTCGGATGAAAGGTCGGTCTGACGTGACCCCTAATGGGATGTCTCCAGATCTTTGTTTAGCGGTAGAGAGAACTAAGGTCTGATTTTAATAGGATTGATTGAAAAGCTGATGATGTCTGTCCACGTTTGCCCTCTCATCATCTTTGTAAATCGGGACTCATTGCCCTGGACGCGGGAAAGAGGCGGTCGGTGGTTGACTGAGTGTGGTTTGTATTTCACTGGACCTGTTATTTCCAGATATGCATACGGCAATGTACGCTTTAGCTAATTCTCCTCATTTGTTTCTGCAGCAGTTGAAGATTTTTAACATACGTCGCATCATTGGGGTTTAATTCTACTGCCCTCGTGAAGGCTGCCTCGGCTTTTTCATTTTTTCCCCATCGATGATATAATACACCTGGGAATTGAGAAAAAAAGCATTAAATAATATTAAGCTTCATCTTGACATACAAAGAATGAATGCATATACCGACATGACCATACTGTCCCAATATGTTTTACAAAGTCATGCCGAGTGACACTTTCAGCTTGCAACGGGCCGGAGAGGTTAATTTTTTCCATGATACATCATATACTTCTGGAAATTGAAATTATAGAATATCTACAATGTCTGTATTATTCTCTGGTGTTGAGTGGCGGCCTTGTGGTCAAAGGGTTCGCTCGTCACGCCGAAGCCCCGGGTTCGATTCCCGACATGGGTACAATGTGTGAAGCACATTTCTGGTTTCCCCCGCCGTGATATTGCTGGAATATTGCTAAAAGCGGCCTAAAACAATACTCACTCACTCTAGAAATATATTTAACATTGTCAGAACATTAAAGTGGGGAATCTATCTAACACTATAACTCAGGCTTTAAGACAATCACTTAGCTCAATAATGATGGTACAACCATTCCCAGAGAATTATCCGAATTGACAAATTTCCGGATTAAGCAATCTTTCAGTCTTTCATAGGCATTTACAATGTGGAAGAAGAAGAAATTCAAATTTTGGGATAACATTGTCTTTATTGTTTTCCATTTCTTGTCCCCTCATGAGGCGCATACTGGGTAAGCCTGACATGGGTAAATCATATAAGAACAAAACAATCAAGATGTCCATTTGAGGGTAATGATAGTGCTAGAGCGAGTCGACACCCGTAGGTTTAGCAGATGCAGGCAGTGCTGCCAGCTCGATACCCGTAGGTTTTACATATGCATGTAATGCTGCCAGGTCGACACCTGTAGGATTAACAGATGCATGTAATAATGCTAGGTCGACAACTGTAGGTTTAACAGATGCAGGTATTGCTGCCAGCTCGATACCTGTAGGATTAACAGATGCAGGTAGCGCTGCCAGGTCGACACCTGTAGGATTAACAGATGCAGCTAGAGCTGCCAGGTTGACACCTGTAGGATTAACAGATGCATGTAGTGCTGCCAGGTCGACACCTGTAGGATTAACAGATGTAGATAGTGCTTCCAGGTCGACACCTGTAGGATTAACAGATGCAGGTAGTGCTACCAGCTCGACACCTGTAGGATTAACAGATGCATGTAGTGCTGCCAGGTCGACCCCTGTAGGATTATCAGATGCAGGCAGTGCTGCCAGGTCGACACCTGTAGGATTAACAGATGCAGGTAGTGCTGCCAGGTCGACACCTGTAGGATTAACAGATGCAGGTAGTGCTGTCAGGTCGACACCTGTAGGATTAACAGATGCAGGTAGTGCTACCAGCTCGACACCTGTAGGAGTAACGGATGCATGACTGACAGGTGTGTAACTGGACCCTGATTAACGAGTCTGGAATACCAGGGGGGGTCCGGTCTAACAGGGCCCTGACTAACGTAGCTCCACAGAGCTGTGAAATATGCATTGGCATTGCCCTTTTACGAGTATTGCACTACTTGCCTAGATTGTGATGCAGTCGGGCGCTGTGTTCGTCTATCTGTATACAAGCCAGGAAGAGTTGCTCACTCTCCTTGTACTTATCTGCCTTGATGTAAATATTGGCCAGCTGAAACATCAGATCTGTATTCCTAGGAAGTGCCTTCAGCGCGTCCTTACCTACTGCTATTGCAAGGTCGTACCTTCCTGCAGTGGAGATGAAACAGAGGTCATACACAATTGTAGCAAAACAACACTATAGTGAAAAACCTTTCATTGTTCGATAGTTTTCAAGATCAACCAACATAACAAAACTGAAACTCGGAAAAAAATAATTTTCATACAAACACACACACACACACACAGACACACACACACACACACACACACACACACACACAAACACACACACACACACACACACACACACACACACACACACACACACACACACACACACACACACACACAGAATCACACACACACACACAGAATCACACACACACATACAGAGTTAACATGGAAGATGAACGTTAACATGTTATTTCGACCATCTGCGTCGAAATAGGGCCAATTGCTTTGAAACCTAACAACAAGACATGTAATAAGACAATGGGGCAATGCCCGGTCATATTGGCAGTTATAGCAAGTAGGATTCAAGTCGTTCACCACCACGATCCAGATGTTAAACAATAAGCAATGCGTCAGTCTCTCATCACACCGCCATGGCCTCAGCTGTACATAGGCACTATACCGGGTATATTTTCCCTTTAAATATAACAATATGTTCTTACGAAGATAAACCACGGTTGGTGTGCTTTGAGGTTCTACTACACCAAATCAGAACTGGAGCCTTCAGTGCAGATCAAGAGACATCTGCAGGCTGTGATTGGATGATATTGTGTACGATTTTTATGTCTTTTAAATGTACATCCATCCAGCAATTAAAACTGCCCATATTTTTCAATATTTGGTGCTGACTTTTTTAACAAGATGACTTGTGCTGTATGTGAGCACAGATATTTTCAAGTAGGTGACATTTGGTGCGGAACTGGGGTTGGTGTGTTCAGCTTCCTGTACTCGGAAAAGAAGCTGGCTAACCTAGCCAAAATGTGTGTTTTTATTGCAGCTTTAAGGCCAGAATGTGCATATATGTAAATGTAATGGCTGTTGAATGCCTAGTTATTTAAAAAAAAGATATAACGTTACTATAGAAGTCTATGGGAAAACATTTGGTTGTGTGTAACCTTGAGTATGTTATTTAATAGTAAGCTACGACAATTTAATCGCGTTTTTCCTCAACCGCCCCCTTACCGAGTCCACCAAGAAACAAGAGATGGTTTTTCCAGGCTCCGGTGTTTTGGGGGTTGGATGTGGTTGCATTCTGCCACGCCCTCATCGCCTCTTCATGGCGGCCTGTGTCTCGGTACTGTTGACAGATAGTTAAATAAACGAAACGAAATATTTTACATACGTGACACACACGTCAAATCGTTAACTTATTTTGTGAAAGAAAAGACAACTAAAATGTGTATTTGTTTTTTGGTGTTTAACGCCGCACTCAGCTATATAACTTCGGTCTGTAAATAATCCAGTCTGGACCAGACAATCCTATGATTGACGTCATGAGGGTCGATCTACGCAATTTAGATACGATGACATGCATCGACCAAGTCAGGGAGCTTGACCACCCTATCCCGTTAGTTGCCTCTTACGACAAGCATAGTCACCTTTTACGGCAAGCAGGTGTTAAGACCTATCAACTAAAATGAAAACATCAGATCATTTTAGAAAATATGAATATTATCAGTTTGAGTGGATGTTGCTTAAATCCACAGTCAGCAATTGGCAATGTCACGGGGCGTTAATAAATTTAATCTGGATCACCAGCAATCCTCGCATAGCAATATTTTAGTAATATCACGGCGGGGGACACCAGAAATGGGCATCACACATTGTACCCATGTGGGAAAAGGAACCTTGTTCTTCGGCGTGACGACCGAAGGCTACTCCACCGACTCCATCAGGACTGACGAAACATAACCACCATTCTGACCATCTGATCCATTGTAACACAGCCTCTTATAAGCATTGCATGTTACTGGGGAGCCATGCTACACCCTAATTCCCACGGTGGAACACAATTTATCACAGATTGTTTTAAATCATTTACTAGGCTTTGCATGTGTTTCCCACAGATGCAGGCTACGCCCAACTTTTTGCGAACACCTGGTAGCATCATCATTTGATTCGTAAACACAATAATGCTTATGATACTGTCACACAGCTACTCTTACATGTAAACGTTTACAAAATGTACATAATTTACATATGTATAAGCATAAAAGAAATATAAAATCAGAAATTAGATCATTAAATTAAAACCTTATAGAACTGACGTCACACACTAAAAGTACTGTTAGATAAAGAAGTTTCATATCTTGGTATGTCCGTCTTTTTTGACGGTGTCAATCATTTGTAATTAAGAATTGCTGATTGACCCCCACGCGACATGCCATCTGTCATGCATGTTAAGTCACAGGTTCATTATAGATAGATAAGCAAAAACGTCAATCAGGTAAAGTCAATTTATTCCAGCAATATTACGGCGAGGGACACCGGAAATGGGCTTCACACATTGTACCCATTTCGGGAATCGTACCCGGGTCTTCGGCGTAACGAGCGAACGCTTTAACCACTAGGCTACCCGACCGTCCCCTTTTCTATAATAACAAAAATGAAACGTGAATACTTATCTGCTGAACTCCATATAATGTTTACCGCTATCACTTGTTGAATGCTTACCAGATTACCCAGGTTAAAGTAGCAGTCTGAGCATGTCTTGTTATGTTGGATGGATTGGAGAAAGCTTGCTTCAGCCAGTTCAGTCTTCTTCATCTCTGCTCGAACGACGCCGAGGTTCATCCACGCCTCTGTGTTGTCCGATCTGCAAATAAACGGAAAGTTATGCAAAGGGATCTTGTAAAATTGCTCATTTATAATAATGTTTTTTGGAACCATAGGGTAAATAGATTGTCGTCATATATATATATATATATATATAAATATATATAAATATATATATATATTTATACACATACAAACATACATACATACACCATATATATATATATATATATATATATATATATATATATATATATATATATATATATATATATATATATATATATCAGTAATCGATTGTATATGGCCACTTTTCTACCCATATGTAGTACTGCTATTGTATGATCTTCAGTTTCCCCCCTGGCCGAACTAGGCTGGATTTATGGAGTTACATTTTGGCTGGACTAACGAGTCTATAAATAGTCCAATCAAAATCGCGCAAAGAAATCGAAATCGTGATTTGATGCACTTCGCGATGTAAGACCCGTTTTATCACAATATAGATCTTGGTTATCGATTAGATCGTCTTAACTGGACGCCGCCATTTGGTTTGAAGCAAATGCAAGTGAGACGAGAGGTGGAATCTGATTGGTCCATAGGAGAGGCTTAGAAGGGACTTAACTCCTAGTAGCCACAGGTGGCACTACATTCGAGCCCAGGAATTCCAGCCTAGTTCGGCAAGGGTTGAAACTGGTCTTTTAAAGTCAGTTAACACTCTTCCGTTTGGAAGATGGATTTTCAATGGTACATTCATATGATTGTCACCGCTATTTTGTATCTTATGCTTAATAGAATCGGTTTCGGAACTTGTTACTCTTTGGCGTTGACGTTTGATATATATTCCATAGACCTAAAAGGAAAACGATTTGCTCTTTTACAAACCGTGTAGACCCGTGAAGATCCGGGGTAGAATAGGTCTTCAGCAACCTACGCTTGCCGTAAAAGGCGACCATGCTTGTCGTAAGAGGTGACTAACGGGATCGGGTGGTCAGACTCGCTGAATTGGTTGATGCATGTCATATGTATCCCAATTGCGTGTATCGCTGCTCGTGATATCAATCCCTTGTTGTCTGGCTCAGACTCGACTATTTACAGACCGCTGGAATATTGCCGAGTGCAGCGTTAAACAACAAACATACCGTGTACATAGACACCTGGAAAAATGTTCAACATATATAAAAAAGGCCATCTTTGAACTATATTTTAGTCACATTAACATAGCCTCTGAGTGCTTAGTTCTTTGGTTAAGTTTTAGATACTTGTCACCGTGGATGCATTTTGCCCATGTCACGGACTTTCTGTTTATTGGCTTTATTTCCGGCACTGCTCGGCAAACTCGGTAGTCGATATCTTACAGTGTGAATCTCAATTTCTTACACAATCTTGATATCAAACACATGTGTGGGGTGGAATTCAAGGTCCTTGATTGGATACTCCATGGTGATGGTCATGTTATGACGGACTATTTTCTTGATTGTAAGCTGGAACGATACCTGAGACTGACAGCTCCTTCCAGCAACCTTTCCGCCTCCAGATTGTCTCCCTTGTCTAGGCGCACGAGGGCCAGGTTAGTCATGGCCTTGTCTGTCAACGATCTTCCTTCCACAATTGAGCTATAAGAAAAGACATGAGATAACATTCATTGTAATATACAATAGTAGCTAGTGAGATAACAAGTTAGTCGTTGTTCTTTTTAGCCTCTGATGGCACTATATATCTGGACCCGCTGATCTGTCATCTTGAACTTCAATGACATGAGGACGTTTCAAATAACATCTCCATTTTCTCAGACAATTTGGGGAAGCGGGTGACCTATTCGTCTGAGGCGCTGCAGGGCGATATGCAGAAACGATAGATCGTGGGTTCAATACCAAGATTTGGCCTGATTATGTTTGTAGGCACCGTGGGATTCACCAAAGCCGTAAACGTCTAAGACCTGCATCCCATCTTCCAACAATGAAGCTAACTCGCTGTTATACAACTGAAATACTGTTCAAAACGGGTCTTAAGGGGTCTAAGGTCAAGGATGAGGTGCTTGGGGCCTATTTTAACTTGATCTCCAGGAGGGCAATAATGATAATAATTATGATTTGTGTAACGCCACACGCAGCGATATTCCAGCTGCCTGGACCAGAGATTGATATTAACAGCATCGACCCACGCCATCGGGTTATACTCCCCAGGGAGCTGAGAATGAAAATCGAGTGCTCACTGATCCATTGACTGGGGTAATAATGTAAGCGCCATGTGCACACGAGCTGGTATGGAGTTAATGGACTTATTACTATTATTACTATTATTATTATTATTATTATTATTATCGGGTTACGATGACAAGCAATCAACTAGCTACTTGGTCGCGTCGATGTCCATCACAAATTGCTGGGGACCTATTCTAACGCGGAATTCCAACGGAGTTCACAATAATGATGATTTGTCATCTTTCATGATGATGATGACGATGATGCCGATACCTGACATTGACAGCCCTCTCCAGCAGCTGTTCCGCTTCATTCACGTTTCCTCTATCTTTCATTATAGCGGCCAGATTGATCATTGCTATTTGCTGTGTGGGATTCAATCTGTGGGCAAAAATAAGATCCTATAACTGGGACTTATCAAATTTACACTTCACTTCGCAAGTTCAAACATAATGTGCATCAGTGTGCATTGAAACTGAAATTCAACTTCCTCGGCAATATACAGGACTGTCACATATCTGTTCCAAATACATTCACGTTACTCACAATCTCTCAGTTCAACTCTTTTTGCAACACCATGTAGTTTATGCATGTAGTAGGTGCCATCTATAACACAAATAACACCCCCAAAGAATCTTTATAACCATTTTCAAAACGCCAAGGAGCTTTGGACCTACTTCATTGTCAGTCTGTATTTCTCGACCGCATAGTCTTTATTGTTGAGGGCATGATGTAGCTCGCCGATTCTGATTTGAAGCTAAAACATCATAAGGCATACAGAGAGTGAGTGAGTTGTTTGTCTTCAACATCTTCTTGTAGTTCAAACAGAGTTTATTTTAGTAAAAATGAATGCCCCATACATATCTATATTAACCGATTGCGGGCGAACATGACGTTGAAACACCAATGATCATTATCTAGGTGGATCTTTAGTTGGAGCTCACAGTCACTGATCATGTCAGTGCTGGACCAGATTCTGATTTGAAGCTAAAACATCATAAGACATACAGAGAGTGAGTGAGTTGTTTGTCCTCAACATCTCCTTGTATTTCAAACAGAGTTTATTTTAGTGAAAAAGAATGCCCTATGCATATCCATATTAACCGATTGCGGGCGAACATGACGTTGAAACACCAATGATCATTATCAAGGTGGATCTTTAGTTGGAGCTCACAGTCACTGATCCTGCTAGTGCTGGACCAGTGCATCTAGTCATGGCACCGGTTTAGCCCTGCAGTCACATTGCATACAAAACTATTTACGATAACGATATCATAATCACGCACCTTAACATCAAACGGGGATTACAGTTTGAAAGATGCCCCCAAACAAAACTCAAGTATAGAAAAGGAAAACACTATTCATTTCATATCGCTTGTGTGATATCTCCTAGATGTCGCACTACAATGAATTTGCAACACAATGCTTTATAAACTGTTATTGGTTACCATAACGTCACAGTCATCACCAATCTCTCTGTCCCTGAAGCTGTACGTTGTACTCAAGACTATGGTCATAGCTGTTTACAAAATGAAAAAGTTGGTAGAGTGATTTTAGGTGGCACTCTCGTTTCTTTTGAGTCCGCTATATCAACACTCGTCGGCAAGCCTCGAGGTTTAAACTTTTATCGACCCGTGTTGATATATTTCATAGAGAAAAACACACCAGTGAGATTCTTTGTGACCAACGTTTACGTTCCTGTCTCATTAAGAAAATCAAGCCACGTCCATATCATTATTTAATTTAAGAAACGTATGCTTTCTGACATGTGCCTACCTTGGCATTCAATGGACAGACCTCGACACCTGATGTGAACAATACCAGGTCAGTCTTCCATTCACTACTTCTCTGAAATACAAGTGTTAGATCGTAACGTATAAAAAGTTATATGCTGTGAATCGGTAGGTGGGTGGATAGGGGATGTAGGGGGTTGTAGGCGGTATGGATCGTACAGATGGTAGATGAGCCTGTAGTGAGTGGTAGATGAGGATCGATAGTGGACAGTGTGACTCTGGGGGCGGATGTGTGGATGGTTGGGTTATACATATCTTATTCACAGGTTTGATACAAGTTGGTTGGTTGGTTAGTTTGTTGTTTTACGCCGCACTCAGCAATATTCCAGCTATATGACGGCGGTCTGTAAATAATCGAGTCTGGACCAGACAATCCAGTGATTAATATCATGAGCATCGATCCACACAATTGGGATCGATGACATGCATCAACCAAGTCAGCGAGCCTGACCACCCGATCCCGTTAGTCGCCTTTTACGGCAAGCATGGGTTGCTGAAGACCTGTTCCATCCCGGATCTTCGCGGGCCGCACAGGCAGTAAGACGGGTAGATGTTCATGGTTGGTATAAAGGATACATCATTTCATATCATGGGTGGGCCTTGAACGTTTTGTAAGAGAACGGGATATTTTTCCGTAACTGCTTCAAAATGCTCACTTGTCTGTGAAAGAAAGAGTCGAACTACATTGATTTCAGTTGTTGAGGGGTAAGATGTGAATGGAGAGAGTGAGTGAGTGAGTGAGTTGGGTTTAACGCCGCTTTTAACAGTATTCCAGTTATATCACGGCGTGTCAGCTTAATGTTGGAGGAAAGCCCGAAGTGACGCAGGTCTTAGACGTTTACCACTTCGGTGAAACCCACGAGCATGGGTATGGTGCTGACAAACCTAGAAACATAATCGGGGCGAACCGGGATTCGAACTCACAATCATAGGTTTCTGGCGTGCCCAAGGGACGCAACTCTGCACAGTGATGAATGGAGAAAAACTAGGAGATGTGTGTACATGCATTCGTATGGTATAAGTCGGTTACTGGTGGACCGAGAAACAAATGTTGGCGTGGGGAGTTTATGAGGGAGGCATGTGTACGAGTAGATTGATGTGTTGGTTAATGTTGTTGGTTAATGGCCTTCGGCGTGACGAGCGAACGCTTTAACCACTAGGCTATACCACCGCCCTGGTTATCGGTAGACAGTTAATGGAGGGAACCGACGTGTATATTTACTAGTTGATGAACATCGAGCTGACAGCAATTGATGTAAGTGTATCAATTCACCTTAGTTAAGCTTACCTTAATGGATCGAAGAAGAAATACGGTTACTTACATCGCGAAGCCATAGCCAACAAGCTGAAACATAAAGTATGCATTGGTCAATAATATTGCCGTGCACCTGTCTGATTGGACGTTAACTCGCATGTACACTACTACTACATGCAAGAGCTCCAGTGTCTAACTCTTATTCACACCACTTCTTAATGCAAGAGCTCCAGTTTCTAACTCTTATGTACTCCACTTCATAATGCAAGAACTCCAGTGTCTAACTCTTATGTACTCCACTTCTTAATGCAAGAGCTCCAGTGTCTAACTCTTATGTACCACATGTCTTAATTCAAGAGCTCCAGTGTCTAACCCTTATGTACTCCATTTCTTAATTGCAAGAGTTCCAGTGTTTAACTCTTATGTACTCCACTTCTTAATGCAAGAGCTCCAGTGTTTAATTTTTATGTACTCCACTTCTTAATGCAAGAGCTCCAGTGTCTAACTCTCATGTACACCACTACTAAATGCAAGAGGGCCAGTGTCTAACTCTTCGTACACCACTACTAAATGCAAGAGCTCCACTGTCTAACTCACATGTACACCCCTACTAAATGCAAGAGCTCCACTGTCTAACTCTTATGCACTCCACTTCTTAATGCAAGAGCTCCAGTGTCTTACTCTTATGTACACCACTTCTTAATGCAAGAGCAGTGTCTAACCCAAATGTACACCACTACTAAATGCAAGATCTCCAGTGTCTAATTCTTATGTACTCCACTACTAAATGAAAGATCTCCAGTGTCTAACGTTTATGTTAACAACTTCCAAATGCAAGAGCTCCAGTGTCTAACTCTTATCTTCGCCACTTCTAAACCGCGGTGTGAAACCTAACGCGGCACGCATAAAACCCAATGTACCCTGAGTGATCCTGCTACAACGAATATATCTTACCGACATGTTCTAATATGACACTGTAAAAGAATTCAAACAAATTCAAAATTGATAGAAAACAGCTGAGGTTAACTTGAGCTATGTCACCTGAAAAAAGGGACTTATTTTACCTCGCAGAAATCCACGTGCAGCCTGATTTGCTCGTGGAGGGGTATAAGGGATTATTCGCCCGCTGAGAAATTTATTCCCGTACGAGGCGGGATACATAGTATTTTGTCAAGATCATGTGGACGAATCAGATCTCATCATTCTCACATTGAGGTATGATAACGTTATATGTATGCATGACTTGAACACTTTATGAACATGTAAGATTCTCCTGTTCAACAATAGGGGGTGTAAGTAGGTCACGGGACTGTGCGAGACATTACGTTGTTTAGTACTTC